TATTGAATCTTCGTATTCGACGTTTATGATCAGAAATATCACATAAAATCCATTTTGATAAGTTGATAGGAAACTTCCACTATTAACGCATATTAACGGACCGCTAAGACTGTCAGTAACAACGATGAACAAAGGTAAAACTCGATGCTAAATAATAACCCCGGATCAGGAAATGATACCGAAGGACATGTTCAAGTAGATGTTTACTCCCATATTCACAAGAGCGTTGTCTACTTTGATTCCTTATAACTTATCTTCTATTAAATCAAATTATGCTGCCGTAATCCGCCGGTAAGTTGATGCAAAAATCCAAGTCAATACCCTTTTATCGTTGTATTTTATTATTTGTTCGACTATGTAAGGCTTCTGACAGCCCAAATTGAAATGGTTTAAGTTTAAGCATGTCCAACTTGAATAACATGAATAGATTTGAATAAGATGAATATATTCGGAAACCCTCTCTTTCATCATAGCTTCAGAATCTGTACACGATCTACCAAAGGAGGCTATGGAACGACTGGAAAATATGTTAAAGTCGTTTCGGTACACGATCTACCTGTACCTAAGGTGGCTCACCGGACGGCTATGGAACGACTGGCATCATTTCTGTACAAGATTGAAATACTCACTCGTCAGATATATAAAAAAATATTTTGATGGGCTCGCACAAAGCTTTAAATTCTGTGGAAAATCAATGGATTCTGTAGACACTGGTAGACCTTGGATCTAGCCTCCATCGGATCATACCTCCCCTCACTTTAAGTACGTGATCGAGAACTACTTTTGTTTGGTTGAGCTTTAGTGGCAGAATGAATAATATATTGATACTTTTGTTCGGAGTGAAGAATTGAGCGTTATGTAGTAAAAAAGCGATCGAAAATGATAGCTACTTTTTTATGTGAACCTTAACCTGATTAGTCCCAAGCTGAAGAAGATAAACTCAGAAATATTAGTCTTGATCAATGTTTTGTCAGTATAATAGGTTTAGTTACTTGGACAATGTAGGTTTTCGTAGATGTAAGAAGGTTTTTTCCCTGAGCCGTTCTAAGTTGGGAGTGTCGGTAATATTAAACTTGGATTTATATCACACCCAAGTCAACAATTGAATTATTGTTTTAGTGTATCGTTCTGTGTGATTCGATCAGGTCATTCCCATTCTCATTGATCATTGGGAAGATTTGTTTTAGTCTAAGAGTCGACAGTTACAAACCATTAAAATTGATGTATGGTTTGAGTGTGATGGGTCGACATCTTCTGTCATACTGCCCATGGTATCTGGACATAAAGTACCACAGATGTGTCAAGATAACAAGTTGGTATTGATTCATTTGGGTTAGAGGCCATGAACGCGTACGTTGATTCTTTGACCAGGGGTATCGAATGTGGAATTGCCTGTCGATAGCATGTAGTAAAACAATTAATCAACAGAATTACAGAATATTTCTGTGAAACTGTATTAAAATAAATACAAATGCCTGAATGATGACATTAAACAATTGACTACTTTATATGCCCTTAAAGGGATATTCCTTGCACGCCTTTTACTCTCTTAATATGATAGCTATAACCATTATTATACTATCCATTTAGCAAAACATGTTTTGATATGGTCTTTGATCATTTAAAAATACATTTAGCTCATTTTATATTTGGGCTGCCATCTTTTAAGATTTGACACAGGACAGGATGGGGTGGCATCAACTCTCAGTTTGCATAGTACATAAGGCAAGAAAGTATGAAACATGTACAAAACCTGTTGAATATTCTTTTTCATAATTGTATATGATTTATAACAGATAATATATTTTTCCATTTTAAGTTGGCAAGCCCTGAAGATATTTTTGCACGTCCAGAAAATTAGGGCCTTATCATGATGTCTAGAGGTGATTTTATGCTACCTGTAGTGTTATTGGCAAGTTTGGAGCAGAAGAAGTGAGTAGCTCCCACAATTCTTTTGTATTACTTTGTCTCGTGGGATTCCCCTTAGCTTTCCCTACATGGTCCTACACGCCTTATATGGATCTATGGATACCGCATGACCCAATACCAACACTGAACTTTTGGAGATCCTTCACCCCCTGTATTGGAGTAAAGAGTCGATTACATCACTTCCCGTATGACCATATCAAAATATTTCCCCATGTTTGGTAAATATGGATAGTATAATAATGGTTATAGCTATCATATCAAGAGAGAATGGGCTTGCAAGGAATATCCCTTTAAATAGACTTATACCACATTGGATGTAAAATAAAGTCGCAAGAAAACCTATAGATTGAACTAGCGATTTACTACAGAAATTAAAAATTATCATTTGGTTTGATGATCGAAACGTTTATGATATATCGTTCTAGATAGATAAAAGAAAATGTTTTGTCCATAATCACTGTTGAGGAACTCAAACTAGAAATTACTTTCACGGGGACCCGGATGTACTTTTCCGATGAATTTTCTAGCTTTATGTACTAGTTGAACCTGTCAAGTTATTTGATGTGTACAGTGTAGCATATACTACAATCTTACAAGTTAAATGAAATTAATACAATTAACAACTTTAATTCATAAATAATGACATTCATGTAATGCTATCGCAATTAGTGCTGTCGTAATGACGAAGCTTAATTCCATTATCACCAAAGTAGCCTAACAATTTTCAGATCAGTCAAAGGCGTTCGTAAATCCAATTAATACGGGTTGAATTAAAGGAAGCACGGATAGAATAAGAAACGCCGAAAGAGATTGATCATAAAGATTTCCCAAAGATTCAATTAATCAATTGAAGTCTATGTCAGAACTTCAAATGTATCATTCTTTCTAAATCAATCTATTTCAAGTACAGAGGTGATGCAGCCTGTGTTCTACTTTCTAAATTATACCTTACGGATCTGTAAAACATCCTGAAAGAATCATTTGACTTCTTCATTTAGAACACAAAAAGTCATTTTTCAAAATTCCTGTTGATTGTATCCCTAGCTTGCTTTATCGATCAAAAAACCTCCGGATATGCTTGAGCAAGACAGAGGCCAGAGATTCTCCGCTAAGGTGATAAATCACGCAATTGCCCAAAAGGTTTCAATAGTATTTTAAATGAATATGACAATTTGGTATCTGGTATAAAAACGTATACCTATTCTGTGGCATATGCACACCAAACTAGTTCTATAATTAAATTCTTTCGAAAATGTTGCCAAGCGGGTTTAAACTGTGTGTGGACAGATTGGACGTAGTTGGAACTTTAAACGGTCTTTCTACGGTCTCATCTTTACGAACTGCATTGAAGTACCCGGACGGGAAGGTGCTAGAGAACTAGCTTCGTTTCTGTTCAACATTTTTCCTTGACAACCCGTTTCCTAAACTAATTTTTATGACGGAATAGGGCGTTTCGAGAACTACTTGATTCCATAGTTCTGTGAACACGCTCTTGACAACCACATGGAAACGGACATTTTCCATATGCCCAGATAACTGGTTCATGTCCTTTTAGACTTTAATCTACCATTTTACTCTCGTCCTTGATTTATCTCAGTTATTGCTAAACTATTGAAGCAATTCTTCATTTCTATTGCAAAGGTTTTTTATTATTAGATAAATACTTCAGTTCGTATAAAGTCAGAAAACAGCTTGTTGCAAGTTTATTTTCTCATTTGATTTGATTAATTATCTAATTTTCATATAATTTTTGACATGTCTTTCAATCATGTTATCAATTATATTTTAGAATGTCTTTGTTGGCTTCCGATAATAACATTGCAGTCACATTGACCTGTCAATATAGACATCAACATAGACATCATTAGATTCTGAAGCTGGATACACTGTATGTTGACTTGTATGACTGTATGTTGACTTGTTTGACTGAATGTTGACTTGTTTGACTGTATGTTGACTTGTATGACTGTATGTTGAATTGTTTGACTGTATGTTGACTGTATGTTGACTTAGTTGACTGTATGTTGACTTGTATGACTGTATGTTGAATTGTTTGACTGTATGTTGACTTTTTTGACTGTATGTTGACTTATTTGACTGTATGTTGACTTGTATGACTGTATGTTGACTTGTATAACTGTATGTTGACTTGTTTGACTGTATGTTGACTTGTTTGACTGTATGTTTACTTGTTTGACTGTAGGTTGACTTGTTTGACTGTATGTTGACTTATATGACTGTAGGTTGACTTGTTTGACTGTATGTTGACTTGTTTGACTGTATGTTTACTTGTTTGACTGTAGGTTGACTTGTTTGACTGTATGTTGACTTATATGACTGTATGTCGACTTGTTTGACTGTATGTTGACTTGGTTGACAGTCGTTTGACTTGTACATGTATGCCATTTCAAGATAACAGGCTACAGTAAAGTGCACTCCCTTCAATTACCTTTCAAAGACACTGGTTAGTATCTAGCGAAGATAATGGCAAGAACATTCGCATCTAAGATGGAGGACGGTAACTGTTGATTTTGATATTTTTTGTTTTCAATGAGTCGACAATTACCGTCCGCCATCTTAGATGCGAAGGTTCCAGCAGTTACCTTCGTTTGATACTGACGAGTGAATGAGTCGGACAACCCCGATGTATAATTAATTATGATGGAACTTGTTTCCATTGTACTAAATATGAATACATTTCCACGTTGAAGAAGTTATGTCAAAGTAAATAATATAAAATTATGTGATTTGACAGTGAAGTTGAAAAAGGATAAAGGGTTTTTGGTTTGGTACCCTAATTTTCACTATTTTCACTGAAGAGGCTAGACTGTGAAATTAAAGGCGCAGTGAATATTTGATTTAACATTGAATTCATTTGGATATTTCTTTAAGCAGTGAAATCCAATGCTCATAGAACATTCCAGATTGACAAATTAGTAATTTTTTGTCAGTGAAAATTTAGTTTTTTACAGTATTAAATATCGACAATCGTAAACTGACGTTAATGCGTATCCAATAGCTTGTAGTTCCCAAACTTTTGGAGAGGGTCATACACCACTCCTCTTACTCACCCAGTAAGTCGGCAACCGCCAGATTCGCCAAAAAGACGTTTGTCACATTCCTCATCTTCCTGTTTGTAAATACCAGTATAAGAACCAGAATGTTCCCGAACAATGCAAATGTGAACACGGGTACGTAAATTGATATCAGAACAATTGTTCTAGTTTCCTTGTGTGTATACAATGTTTCCTTGAACTCGTTGATTCCTTTGTATAACCAGTCGTTATAGGACGATATGGTGTCATTGCCAGACAGCAGGACCGGTTGATCCACTATTGTAAGGTTGGCCATGTCGTCTCTAGATAAGAAAACATAATAGAAATGAAAGTTCCTGATTTATTTGCTAATTATGAACAATTTACTATGTCACATTTACGGATCCATTGAAAATCTCGAGAGATTAGTTAAATGTACCATCCTGTTTTAAGATGAAAAACTCATAAAGCATTTTTCTATGACAAATACAAATAATTATTCTTATCGATTTTCAAATCATCATCATGATAAAATTAGGAACGAACTCGATGCAATATTGATTTGATACATTATCTTGAACGAAACTTAGTGTTAATCAAAGACATGTCACATATTTAGAATATTATACATTTGAAAACCCTTTACTGTAGGCCAATGGGGTTTTCAAAATTGATCTCGATTTTGTGAATTTTTTTTGTAATTTCTTCATGTCACGTTAACATTGCATCGAGTTTCTATGTTCCCTCTCTCCCGGCCTTCTTAATCTCTCATCGGTTCTCATTACGAAAGGATGTATGGCGAAACAAATCGCCTGATGTAACATTAAAGGTGCAACAATTAGTGTAGGGGGCCATTCACGATCATCGTCCAGTGTCAAAATGTATTTAAATTTGAATATTTAACATATTTTTTCATTATCTACAAAGAACATTATTTCAGCTGATATTCCTCTTGAAACGTGGTAGATCTTAAATATCAGGACTCCCTTTATAGAAGCTTTTGAACTGAATTTACACTTCTTAATGCTATAGTTAAATACATACATTTTAAGAAAAATCAGATATGCTAAAGAATGTGTTAAGCCAAATATTGATCTGATAGCTCAGAAAAAATAAAAAATTTCGAATTTTCTCTCTACAGTCCTTGTTGCCCCTTTAATAATGGTGTGTAAACAGCTGGCTTTAAAGAAGCTACATTTTAAAGTTAGAAAATGTTATTCAATAATTCTTTTATAGATCAATATCTCATCCAATAGAATCAATATAATATAATAGAATAAAATTCAACTCTTAAAGAGGCGTTAAAACAAGTGTCCGTATGCCTTCACTGTTTATGTTTTAATATAAATCTCAGCTCTCACTCTCTCTGGTGCAGAACATTACCTTTATTAAAGGAACGGGAAGTTAGCTCATGCAGACCCGATTCTCTAAAACGGTACAGAAATTGACAACAAACTTCAGAACAGCATATCTTGAAGATGTATAAAAGCAAAGTACCATTTTTGTTTACTATTTCCTAGGCTACCCGGCTACAATAAAATGATAACAATCCTTTTCTCAACCCGTGTATAATTTTCGGGTTATGAGAAATTCGGGTTATGTTTAATATTTCATTTTAAATAAATTAGATCGAAAAACGCCTAAATATTCTAACCGAATATGACCAGAAATCAAGCTTCGGTTACAAAACATCATGATGGAATGAGAATAATCGAAGTTGACAAGCTCTCCTTATTTCAATTCTGAGCTGGTGAAGCATACCTTCACTGACTTTCCCGAAGAAAAGCATCAAGTGATCAGAGTAATGTAATTGAAACTGACAGCGTTTTAGCGATAGCTTTCACTCTTCGTCCACATGTTACAAACAATTATTGTTAATAAGATATATTCTGAACACTTTATATTATGTCTGAAATTGATAACATGAATTTACCTGTAATCTGGCTTTGTATCCCTTTCTCAGTTATTCCATTGAGTCAACTAATTTCTAAATTCTAATTCCACTCATTTGCTAATCCATCAAAAGCCTGCTATTACCTTTTGTCTATTGTCTCTAGAAAAACATCGTCCTACAACGGTCACTGTGTATGAGAATTTCTCTGAGTTATTCGAGGAATACAAAGTCCTCGATATGATCTTCTTATGCCTCTACTTCCACCCGAGATAATTTTTATCGACGGTTGGACATGCGTTGAATTTATTTCGTGACTGCTTGCCAATTATTTTAGCGATTTTATATTAGCCAGTCGTTGAAGATTGATGCAATAGCTATCTTAGACTTTATTGTGTAGCCGATAGATCATTTTGACGCGCAGAGCTCGGGCTCCATTTCTGACAAGTTTCATTGACATATATACATCTTTGATATAATATCATATCATCTTTGCTTCATATCATATCATATATCCAATTAACATTATACATTCCATTGTCCTTTTCAAATCGAAGTTGGCCATGCTGAAATTTGAAGGATAAATAAAGGAGTAGTGTTGGTGCCCCTGGACCCTTCATAGGTGCCTTTAGTTCAATTAGTTCAATGATCGAATAACTGCCGCATTACCTGGGACTCATCCCTTAATGATAAAGGATTAGTTGTCACATTCTCCATTCGGCTTTGATTAAGAAACTCTCGGTCCTCTTAATTCAAATTCATATCTTGAACTTAAAATGACAATCGTCTTAAATTAGGATTTGTCTTTCAAAAATTGGTTGACATTTTTGATTGTGTTTGGATCAAACATTTCTTTGATATTCTATCCTATTTTTCAGTAATAACTATACCACGATGTACGACTGGTTCTCTCATTGGTTCGCCACTTGTCATGTGACTAAAATATCTACCCATAAGCCAAAGTGATGTTTTCACCATTGAATGTATTTTGAGCTAATAACTAATTCTCGAGAAATAGAAGTAAATCAATATTGTCATAAGAATTAATACATTCAGATTTGATATTGGGACGTACTTATTATGTGTTTATCTTTTCTCACAAATTAAGTGGGAATGCTTACAAATCATATTTCGCACTTTTCAACGTATGATGTTCGATCTACAAAATGAAAGGAAGCGAGCTCTGCCACTTATTTTATTGCGTTTGGATGTCCTTATGATTGTAACAGCAATTGTTATACGAAGATATTCCGATATTTTATAACAATCTGTTCCAATCTATTTACCAAGTTTATTGAAATAAACGATACAGAAATAGACTTTCTACTTCGTCTGATTTTACAGCCTTGTTATCGTACTTTGTATACGTTGATTAATTTTGCCAATTTTGACTTGTAAAGAAGATATCTAAAATTATTTGTAATTGCAATAGCCTGTTTAAATGAATAGGAAATTGGTCCTCGCCATCATGATAAACCATAACATCTCAAATCTTCTCAGCCCTGTTTCAGGTGAAACAGAAAGATGCTATGAGTATCAGAATGGGTCCTCGTTGAGAATGAAGATCAGAAAACAAAATGTACGGTTGTTACGTAAAACATCAAACAATGAAGTAACATTAAAACATACAGGTATAGGTCATTGCATCCCCGACAGTCATTTGAATCGTTATCATTAGTTTTTTCAATTTCCTCTGAGTGTATAATTTTTCTCTTATAGTTACTTATGCTGCTCATACTTTACTTTAGTATAAATCTGTTACGTTATTTCATTGCCATGCTCGGTGAAAGCCTATTCTATACGAAATTCTACAGCTGACATTCTTAACTAACCCCCCTATCGCACCAAACTAGTTCTTACCCGTTCTTGCCAGTCCTACGAAAACGTCGTAAAACGGGCTCAGTCTGGCTGTGGTGGGGAAATATGTCTGAAATAATTAGCTTCTTCGTTCTTAAACAGTCTTCAATACGTCCATCTCGTTCGCAGTTCGTTCAGGTCGCAACATGTCGGAGTGCAACGTCGTAGAACGCGTCCCTTAGTCTAGAAGGTCAACATGACCTGATTACAGAACGGTATGGTCGTCATCGAATTTTGAATCGATTCAAAATTCTAAAATCACATTCCCGTCTGAGAACGTTCATAAAGTTCGTAAATAGACCTTAGAAAGTTGCAGCTACGTTCATTCCGTTCGCACACAGTTTAAAACCAGTTTTGCAGAACGCAGTGGCAACTTGTTTGGTGTGATAGCTATATTTTTGCTAACTCGTTCATAAGCAGTGTTAAATACGTTCTGAATCAGTTTAAACCCGTTTGCAATTAGTTCTACCTCGTTCTCAACACGTCCTCAGACAGTTTAACTCGTTGTTAAAACATCCCTAGTAGGATTGAAGTACGACGGTTCCGTTCGTAGTACGTCCAGCTCGTCGTTAGTACGTTGTCACTCGTTCTAATTATAGAACGTGACGACCACGAGAACATTTTGAGCATTGTCTAAGTTCTAGAGGACCTACCCGTTCGAGTACGTTCGATGAAGTTTGTAAATAGATCCCAAACGGTTCTTAGTTGGTCCAGTCCGTTCGTACACAGTTGAAGCCCGTTTTTGAGAACGTAGTGAGAACTAGTTTGGTGTGATAGTAGGGTAACCCCCCTATCACACCAAACTAGTTCTTACCCGTTCTTGCCAGTCCTACGAAAACCTCGTCAAACGGGCTCAATCTGGCTGTGGTCGGGAAATATGTCTGAAATAATTAGCTTCTTCGTTCTTAAACAGTCTTCAATACGTCCATCTCGTTCGCAGTTCGTTCAGGTCGCAACATGTCGGGGTGCAACGTCGTAGAACGCGTCCCTTAGTCTAGAAGGTCAACATGACCTGATTACAGAACGGTATGGTCGTCATCGAATTTTGAATCGATTCAAAATTCTAAAATCACATTCCCGTCTGAGAACGTTCATAAAGTTCGTAAATAGACCTGAGAAAGTTGCAGCTACGTTCATTCCGTTCGCGCACAGTTTAAAACCAGTTTTGAAGAACGCAGTGGCAACTTGTTTGGTGTGATAGCTATAGTTTTGCTAACTCGTTCATAAGCAGTGTTAAATACGTTCTTAATCAGTTTAAACCCGTTTGCAATTAGTACTACCTCGTTCTCAACACGTCCGCAGACAATTCAACTCGTTGTTAAAACGTCCCTAGTAGGCCGATTGAAGTACGACTGTTCCGTTCGTAGTACGTCCAGCTCGTCGTTAGTACGTTGTCACTCGTTCTAATTGTAGAACGTGACGACCACGAGAACATTTTGAGCATTGTCTAAGTTCTAGAGGACCTACCCGTTCGAGTACGTTCGATGAAGTTTGTAAATAGATCCCAAACGGTTCTTAGTAGGTCCAGTCCGTTCGTATACATTTGAAGCCCGTTTTCGAGAACGCAGTGAGAACTAGTTTGGTGTGATAGTAGGGTTAGGTTCAACTGAAAGTCAGTGATGCCGCTTAGTACAAATTAGGCAATGTGAATACTACCTAAAGCTCGTGAACATGTTACAGGTTACCGTATTTTATTTTGTTTGGTTCATTGTTCGGGTACTAATTATAAGAGACTTGCTAAAAAATATAAGCATGACGGGCATGTCTCACTTTTTGCCTAGTTTAGTCTGATGAGTGATAGCCTATGTTTGGTGGTAGAGCCCGTGGTTTGTTCAATGCATAAACACGTTCAGGCCCGTAGCCAGAATTTTCCAAGGGGGGGGGGGTTCACTTTTCCAAAAAATTCTAGGGGGGGGGTTCACTTTGGCAAATTTGGCCAAAAATCATTTAAAAAATAGTCAGAATGGTGAAAAACTGCATCAAATCCAGAAATCTCCGGTCACTTTCTTTATCAGGAGAGCTGTCAACACATCTGATAAGAAGTGTTCTTAGCAGCTCTAGTGAAACTTGATGCTATGTTGGTCTAATACAAGATGCAGCCTACTTGTAAATAAAATACGTTATCCATGTACGTAATATATGGTTCAACAAAACACAGCAACTAAAAAACAACAACTAAATATGAGAAACTTATGTGGTATATGCCATGTTTATGTGTCTGATCATATAATCTTCAAATTATCCATCAATTTCTTAAGAAATTGGCGAAATTAAGGAAACCAGAAAACACATTTAATGAAAGGGCGGTGTTTATAGGCTGTATGAAATGCCCCTGCATTAACGCTCACATATATGAGTTTTAAACAATAATTTAGTAGACTTAAGTGTTGATACGAAATCTCAGTAATAGTACCAGTTAGGAGATAAGGTGATGTCCGATTTAACATTACGATTGCTGGATATGTGATTTTGAAAGAAATTTTGGCCAGGGGGGGTTCGCCCGAACCCCCCGAAAGCCCCCCCCCCCCTGGCTACGGGCCTGACGTTTTGCAATGATCTTCTGAACTTATTAAACTCTAAATGTAAACACTCTTCCTTCTTGCCGCATTGTAACTAACAGGTCCCAAACAGCTGAGAGTTTTCCACTACTGTTAACAAATTACCGGGGAAATGTGTACTAGACGAAACAGAATATGAACCGGAAGTGAGCAAAGTTCAAGATGGCGACAAAAACTGACAGAACAATATCTTAGCCGTTTGTGCCCTATTAAGCGATGTATTTCCCAGTTGGTTGGCCAAAACAGATTGGAATACCTAGCCAAATATCCACTCTACAAGAATACGTTGTCGCAAATCGCGATAGGGCTATATTTGCCATATTAACGGCAGAAACAGTTAGCCTTTGGTATTCGAGGGTAAGTTTTTTTTGTAAATTTAAAATTCGACATATTTTTCAAGTTCTGGGCTGTTATAATTGAAAAGAATGCCATTCTATATGTATAATGAGTGTAATTTTAAAAAGCATATTTCTAATAATTGGTGCTGTGTTTTATTGCACCATTTTCAGACTTCTGTTTATTGTGTTGTCGCATCAAAATATAAGAGGCCACAGATGTCACAGATATGATAGCTAAACTATAAAACAAACTAAAATATACAAAAGTTAGGACATGTATAAATGTTTCTATTTTAACATATACTGTTTCAATATGGGCCTTTGATTGCTTATTTTTTAAATTCAAAGTAGTTCCAAACATTTAAAATTTTACTGTACACGAAAAGAATGCTAAAATACCAAGGAATCTATTGAAGTAGGTATCTTAAGTGTAAGGGGCGTAGATAATTCTCCCAAGTTGTAATCGTACTGGCAAAAGACTGCGCTCGGTCCAGGACTATAGTCCTGGCACAGGATAAGTTGTCGTGATTAGACATTGATACATTACGATCACAAAAGTGATTCTGGCGATGCTTTGATATCTGAGACAAAACATGTTTATGTCTCTGTTTATTTTAAAAAATAGTCAGGAGTCGGAAATGTAAAAGTTACCTCATGACCCTAACGTGCCTTCCAGATGGTAGTAGACATCTTACAAATGACTCTCTGTTAGCTTTATTTTGTCCATATAGAGCATGAGTAAAGTTAGAAATTTTTAAACGGATCATTTTTTGCATCTCTGCGCATATGGTGACATTGGCCCTTCAGTCATGGAGACTCATTTTTTTAATACTAGACTACTAGGCAAGCAGGCTTCATTTTTATTCTCGCCTACAAAGTTGCTTAACCAGACTGAAATGGGCAAGTTTGGTATGATTTTATACTTGACTAGCAGGAAATAGTACTAGACAATTTGAATTACGCTGTATGTATTAAATTTGAATTACGCTATATCTATTAAATGTTGTTCAATTATGAATATGTCATAAATAACACTATAGACTACTAGGGAATATATATGAGCTTAATAAGGAAACTCAGTTATGATATGCACGTAACGTTCCTCTTGTTTATCAGGTCATTTTTAGTTGATTCTAAAGATACAGGATTCTGGACCTTTCTTCAGTTCTGAATAAATGTTTTTCCCTCATACACATACACTGATTGAATCAAATCCATTTCAGATGAGTTCAAAAGAATATTAAATCAATTGAATCAACTTACCAGACATCGATTTGGAGAATGGAACTATTAGGCCTAATTCTCAATATCCTAATGATCTTAATGAGAAGATGATTACAATAACTGATGATCATGGCCTAACCCAACTAGTCAAGGAACCAACTAGACAAAATAACATCCTTGACTTAGTATTCACTACATGCCCAAACCTCGCAGAAAGAATCTCGGTGGTTCCAGGCATGAGTGATCATGATTTCATTAGGCAGTTCTATGTGATATAAACCTAAAAATGAAAACATAGACATAGAATCATATGCTCAAACGGACTCGGAGTCAGTCTGAAGTTGAAAAAGATTTTGTCTACTCCCACTACGAAACAACAAATATTTGTCTTTCTTGAGTGGAATATATAATGCTTTCGATCAATTGAACTAACTGCATTAAATGCTATGGCGTATGTACGTTTAAATACATGGTAATATGCAATACAATCAGAATAAACTTGAAATTCAAATATATTTTTTTGATTCATTGATGGTTGCTTTGATACATGAAAACTACGAACGATTTAGATTGTTGATGTTCGTATTTTTGTAGAGAATCTATTGAATCGTCAATCACTGGTAATTGCTAAATAAATCATAATTTACAAATTTATTGCTATGAAAAAAATATACAATATCCCTGTTATAGTGTAAAGTTAGTTCTAAGGCATTTAGTGCAAATAGTATAAACCGTTGGCATTTATTTACATATGAGTCAACCGTTTGTACTTCTTATGCATAGCGGCAATGTCAATCATAAAGACAAATGCCAACCCTCATTACCATACGATAAGAAATTTGGTAAAAATATTTCTTAAATCTAAGTGTTGGGCCTTTTTTTGTTTGTTTGTATCTTTATTTCCTCCAATTCTGAAGAGTACAATTTATATGAAAGAAGTAAATTAGTAAAAAGTTATATACATTATATACACATATAAGGAACATAATCAGTAATAACATCACATCCAGAGCACCCCCTATTATACGGCCTGACGCCAGGCTACACGCGTTGACCCGTAATCGCAACAGGCCCAATGCTCTGGAGTTATTTGACTATTTGAGATGAGCAAATTACATTCTGCTTTCTGCCTTATAACTGGACCATACTTAAATTGAACTGACAGGTATCAAGAATAGGATTCAATCTCGACTACGAGGCAACATGTTTTGGCCCTATTCTCGACTAAGTCATGTTTATTCTCGCATAGTCGAGCTGGCGTCTGCCTATCCCCACGACTGCCCTATATCACGTAAAATGAACGAACAAACTTATGACTTTTTTAAATTAACAGAGCTTAAATGTACCTCATTACTGTAATCATGGCGTTCTGCTATTTATTGTTTGATTGTTAATTGCTCTCTAAAAAGCTTTTTTTCCGATGTTGATTCCTGATAATTGCATGCAGCCATGCATCAATGTACGATTATGGCACACCGTGATCATACTACATTTTAATGTAGAATGTCCTCATTGCACAGCAACTAGCCTGCGCTATTAACAGGGTGGATGTCAATGCTGTAGCCTGACTGTCATCTCCAGAGTACCTTAACCTAGAGAGGCTTCCATTAGGAGTACAATGGGCCAACTGGGAAGTTTCTTTTCAAATGACTTCACAGGACTTTGAACTTAGTAAACACACTCTCACTCTCTTCCATTTCTATATCTGGCGTTTTATAAGTGCATTGGTCATTCTTGGAGGATGGCTCCAGTCAATTCACATGTAAAGTCCTGAGACTATTAGGGGAGGCATCAAAACTTCAATGTCTGATAGGAAACTAAATAGATTTAGTTTGTTTTTTTGGGGGGGGTAAACACACATTTTAGCTTCCTATCTGACATTTTTCAACTTTTCAATATTTCACAAACATGTAAAAAATGAGTCACTGCCTACCCCATTCAAATACTTACAATAGATCATAAAAACAGATAATAAATTATGATTAATACAAAAATTATGATGACTATCTATTTAGTTTCCTATCAGAAATTGATATTTTGAAGCCGCCTCTTGAACCATTATATTTGTAATGTCCATCCTCCAACGAAATATTGGTCCAAAGAGAACCTTACAGAAATATTTTTACTAAATTGTTCCAGGCCAGGCAATGGAGTATCAAGTTTGAATAATGGCTGCCAATCTTTGAAAAAATCTGTCATATTTATCAAAAATCTGTCAATTTATCAAAATTTTGAAGGCTAGTCATAATTCATAAAGTATCTGAGTATTCATTGTCTAACCCATACATCTGCTTTAAATGGGCCTTTAGGAGTTGCCTTTTGAGATTTGACAAGGACAAATAATAAATAATAAATGAAGTGAATAAAGCGTTCTAACTGTCAGACTAGTGTGACCAGTCAGAGGTGTGGTTTAAAATATTTGAAACCCAAGAGCTCATTGTAATGGCTGTTGGTCAAAATTATTTTGAAATTCTCCTTCCTTAACATCCTTATTTGAAAATTTAGGATCACTGTCTGAGAATTTGTCCCATATTCAAAAACGCAGGCAAAAAATTGAAATTATGCAGCAAAAAAATTATGTGAGGGAAAATGCAAAATTATGCGCTAAAGAATGAATTATGCAGCATTTCTAGGATATCAAGATTATGGCGAAAAATTAAAAATGCATTGTAAAAGCATAATTCTGAGATCTGTTATGTTTTTTTTATTGCATGTATTGTATTTTTGGTTTCAGCCATGTCTGCAAATAACATGTTTGGAAAGATCAGCAAATTCTGTGTCTCAGTTTGGGTCAAATCAAAAAGCCCAATGGAAGCCAGATTCTACAATGCTGGCAGTTGTGGTAAGACATTTTTTTAACAAAATTATACAGTTGTATTACATTTCATTTATCCTATGGATTCTGAACACTATGGGAATAACAGTACGTGTACTGTTCAAAATATTGCTGGTATAAGTCTCAATTTTTGGTGACGGCAATCAGCGGTTGTTGATCGGCTGTTGGTGTCTGTAACAAATTCTTCAAACTTCCAATAACTTAACAAATCAAAATCATCTACAAGTTTTTAGAAGTTCAAATCTGACTTTATATTTAAGCTTTGACCTTCAGTGGTCTTTTCAAGGTCAAAAAAGGTCAAAAGGTCTTTTTTCAACTTGCTTCAAACTGACCAATTTTTTCAAAATCATCTTGAACTTCGCAAAAGTTCAAATCTGACTATAGATTTGGCCTTCAATAACATTCTCAAGGTCAAAAGGGTCTTTTTTAAGTTGCTTCAAATTGACCAATGTTTTTTCAAAGTCATCTTCAAGTTTTCAGAAGTTCAAATCTGACTTTAGATTTGAGATTTCACCTTCAATGACATCCTTAGGGTCTTTTTTCAACTTGCTTCAAATTGACAAAAAAATGGTTCTCAGCAATTCAAATGTGACTTAAGATTGAACTATTGTGTGCTACTAGGTGGTGACATTTGGCATGTTAATGCCTTGTTAAAATTGTATCTGGCTGATATAATATGTAAAACCAATCATATTTGATAGAAACTACTTTTTCCTATGGAGATTGTCAATATCCACTCATGGATAAAAATGAGATATCCTCAAAACCATATCCTCTCTGCATTATGCATCACAGAACAGGTTTGAATACTGCACAGTTCAGTACACAATTTACAGATTGAGTGGTTTAATTCTCAGCTATCTCAATACAAGTTGAGTAAAATGATTATTTTTATATTTTAGGTCAATGTATGAATACAGTAAAACTTGTCTTAGTGGAACGCTTTTGGTACTTCTAAAAAGTGCTCTACTTGCAAGTTGCTCCAATTATAGCGGTTCATTTAAAATATTAAGTCAGTTGGTCTATGGACTCTGAAAAGTGTCCCACTAACAGAGGTGTTCCACTTTTAGAGGTGTTCCACTTCACAGGTTTCACTTTAATCTGATTTGTCAAAATTAATTAAGAAATGATAATATTAAACTCACCATCCACTCACTTATATATTTCTATGTGTTACTCAATTTGTGAGTACAAATATCCAAATATTTTGTATCAGAGTAAAGTTCTTTTTTCAGCACCCATTTAAGAGTGACAGTTAATTATGCAGGCGAGGATTGTCTATTAGTCAACTAATGTATAAATTCCACCACACAAATGTTTGATGCTCTTATGGGAATCACAAAGAACGAAAATCAATTTTTACCACATGAAGCATGAAAAATCACATTTGTTCCAACTTGTTTAGTAACTTTATATTGGCAGCATGACAAGTGCTGATATTTTAACAGAGGAAGTTGTCTTCTTTTAAATTCAGCTCAGGGTTTTTAGAGAACCTGGTCACACTTCGACTCTCGACTTGATATTATTTTCGTTATGAATTGACAGGGAATTATTCAATAGATTTCTTAGTCTAGGAAATCTGTTTTTTCTAACATACAGCCAGGAACACCTTTATCATGTAAAATTACCCTTTATATGATACTTAATTTTTTTATTAATCTGATCGTGCGGTATCTATATAATTATAGGTAATTTAAGGAATGTAATACTGTGCAGTATCTACAATATAGCTTATTAGTGTTTATATTGGGTAATTTCAACTTTTAAAAAAATGACCTTTTTTAAAGGGTAATTTTACATGACACCAGTGGGATGAAAGAGATAAAAGTTATAAATATGGTCCAACAATGTCATGCTAAGAGCTGGTCCAGGCCCAGAGATTTACCTTAATCTTGGCCAGCTTACTTAACCACTCTTAGAATCAAGCTCGAGAGTATACTGAATTTAATGTTTGATCAATTTGCCTCTCTTAGCAGTGTTCACATGTTCTTCACAGGATTTTTTCTCAAATGGTTGCAAAATTCTCATTTTTACAATTCAGACTAAAGTTGGAAAATATGTCAATTTTTCAGGATTCTTTTCTCATTTTCTCATTTTCAAATGGGAACATATGGATTTTCAGGTGGGTGCTGCAAGCCTGTTCCTTACATCTCAGGTGGGTACTATGCCCACTTGCTTTAATCCTGGGAAGATCACTATCTTGGTTGTAATGTTATGTGAAGTTTATTCACCAATCTACTCTCCTTGAGTCACACTTAAAGGATATTCTTTATAGGATTTTTATTCACGTTAAGTAAAGAAAACACTTTTGGACGTAACTGGTCTATATATAGAAGCAAACCATGTAAGAATTTAATATGGATTGATGTCAATGTTAGTACTCTTTTACTATCAGTGAATATATTTCTTACTAGAGACCTGTAAGTTAACCCTTGTCACATATACATGACAACATTATGATGAATGTCTAAAGCCATGCAGGATTTAATTGAATATTATAAATATTGAAGCTTAATGTAGTCAACTGAAATAAAAAGTTAATGAATTGAACTTGCGATAAGCATTATGGCATGAATCAAAATTTGATGGTGTTTCATTGACCAAAATTGGCAGAGCTTTATAAAGAGAGTTATTGGTGAAATTCAATATTTTATATCCTGAAATAAATATATTTTCTGAATGGATGCATTTACAGTAACACCTCCCTCAAGTGAACCTCTTTTCAATGAATGTTTTTATTTGGCAAAACCTTTTCTCTCATTGACTCCCATGTTAAAGTATTTTGCCAATGTTAACATCTACCTATTGATCAACAGATTTGCCTTTTATAATTTCATTTCAGACAACAAAGGGCTACATCATATTCTTTAAAGTTGAGATAGATGCCAATGCCCCAAACAATCAGTGTCTCTATGCACAGAAGGAGGACAGGTATGTACAGCTGATTCTCTCATCCCCTGCTTTTGAAACCAATAGCCAAAGTCAGTGTCCTTAAATAACCAAGTTTCTTGTAATCAATTGAAAGGTGGCTTAATTATAGTAACTTTGTTGGCCTTCAAATGTGGCATGTCAATTTTCCTGCCAAATAGACAATCATCAGTCAGTCATCAGTCAGCGTCTCTCAAAGATCTAAAATCTATCAATACAGTTTAAAAAGGATACACAAGTGACGAGCAGTCAATTGGCAATGAATATGTAAGCACTAGTCCCAAAAGGTGAACAACCAAATTTTTTTACAAATATGTCAAGGTGAAGACATCTTAAACATAACTGACATATTAACCCTTTAAATGGGATTAATTCAATAATCAACATAGTGATATATGGAAGTCATATTTTCATAATAATTTGTTGTGAAATCAGTAGAGTGGATAATCCGGTAAAATTGCTTTCCAAAAAAATCTCCACAGCTGTTATGAAAATTAGTCTCAGAAACATCCGTTTATAAGATCAAGATGTACTTGATATCCCATATCATCAATAACTTGGAAGCAAATATCACAGCAGAATACAGAACTGGATATGCATTTTATTTGCTTTAACAAATCTTTAAAGACATAAGTCCAAACTCCAAAGCATCAAGGGGCACTTGTGAATGGATTTGTTTGATTGTTCACCGTTCAAAAAGGGTTTAACCACTGGCCTGTCACCATTTTATTTTGATGCAATATTTTGAAGGAGTAAAATCAAACTATTAAAAAGGCCAATTATTTGGTTATCCACATGGTGGTGAAACTGTTAACTACCAACTGGCACCTGAGTTATTGAAAATATACACAGAAAATATCACTTGTCCAATGCAATAAAAGTGATTTTTCGCTTTTCACAATGTTATAACAACTCATTGTGGAATGTAAGTTATATGTAGCCAACCAAGAAATCACATTTTCAATAAAAGATAAAATTTCAAAGTTGATCAACAATTTTTAAAAACAGATTTCAGGATCTCATTTTGTATGTTTTATATGTAGATTTCAAATATGATATCATTTTGAATAAATTTTTGAAGATTAAATGGCTTAAATCAGGATTATTTTTACTTGCATCTCGTCTGGAAAAAGTATACTTTTGCCATAATTTTACAATATCTGTATTATTTTCCTTTGCAGGCGAGTTATAAGAGAAGGTTTCAATGCTTCCATGGATAGTGAAAGTGTTCCAGCCGTAAAGCTATCTCAGATGTCATATATACAAATACCTAGTGGTCTCTCAAGGTCAGTATGGGTCATTGCAAATATGCATTTCATTCAATGGGATAAAACCATGATTTCACTGAGATGTTATTCACACATGAACAGTCAATCAGTCATGGTGGTCATAATTGATAAACAGATAGCTTAAATAAGTGTGTTATTATTAAATAGTTTTGTTTTCCTAAGTGGTATATAACTTACAACAGTTTTGTAGCAACTTATGCTTCCTGGAGAGTAATTTTTACTCTTACTATTACATTACTTTTTTCTGTGGGATTCCACTGAAGGATTCAATATGTGAAAATATGAGAGTGTTTTTAATAATCAATCTTATATAAGCTCAAATTCGCATGTCGCATACTTCTGTTCATAATTAATTACATTTAATCAACGAATTGGAGGCTGTTACATAACAAGATTCAGAATTGGCTACTTGGTCTTGGTGGTGTGATTTTGTTTGTTGGAATTTTGGAGTCTCTGCTTCTAGAGAGAATAGATTACCCATTTTTTATTCAAACAACAAGGAAGAATGATCTTATAGTTGATGAAATAGATAACAGTATCCATGTCAATTGTTTGATGCAAACCCTTTGCGGCTTTAATTTGACCTTTGTTGGTGTGTTGTGTGGGAATTGAATGATAGAAAAATCCATCAGTCACTGATAAATTACACAATCATTAAATTGTTGAGAAAACATATGTTTAGATATGCTGCCATTTAATCTGCTGCTGTCAGCACCCCAGATATTGAATTCATTTGGACAATGGCTTGTTCATACAAACTAATCACAATCATCTGCTCGATTAAAGGATATTTGTTACAAACAAAATTCAATACTATGATCTTTTATCAGTATGCATGAATGTTTTCCATTATTGTGGCACAGTTAAACGTTTAAAAATGTGAGTGCTTTTCTTCAGTCTCACTGTTGATGACATAAATGATATTTTAAGCTTTTATGTGTTCACTTGCACAATTGCAATGTGAACACTTGATCTCTTAATTTGAAATGGTTATGCGATCACTTGCAATGTGAACACTTTTCCAGTGCTAAATGTGTTCATTTCATGCATGTTTTACTTGATTGCACATATATACAGAGACTAGACTGCATTATCAAAAAAAAGATAACTCATTTTGAAAATGTTCTCCAATGATTAGTCTATAGCAATGTTTTGCTAATGATCAAGAATTTTGACAATAAATGTGTATAACATATTCTCTCTAATGAGTGCACAGTTTCAATGAGTGCACTTGTAACTTTTATGTTGAATATGGTTTCCACAAAACTTTAATGCATTTAGATAATTGACAATATCTTTTCTAATTTCTTTTGTATGTGCACTTATTGGAATCTCTCAATATCTTACCCTTTTCAATTTGAAAACTGCACTGTGCACTCATTAGAGGGAATATGGTATATACAGGGTGGGCCAAAAACAATAGCCAAATTCAAAGTTGAATGATTCACATGAAATTTTTTCTCAAATCCTAATTTACATATTTTGGTCGTAATATGCCTATATTACATCCTTTTGGGCATAATATGCCTATATTACATCCTTTTGGGCATGACAAGATGCAAACAGGTCTTCAACGGGGTGACATATTTTTGATTCAAAATAATTGCTGTGTTTATGTTTTAAATGTTTAAGTGTTCTCATTGTAGCCTTGTATGTATAAGAGACGAGTTGATGGTAGCAACAATATCTGGAAGCTTACAGAGGATACGTTGGGATGGCTATGTGAATGGGGACATGGCTCTATCCATCAATAGTATACCATTCTCAGTAGATCTACAACACACAAGAGGTAGGATATATATATATGATATCCTCTGATTTTTAAGGCATTTGTATCCATGAGTTGAGATCGGCAATATCCATAAGAGGATGAAAATTTTAGCCTGAATCATAGGATATCATATTTATCTTATGGATTCGGGTTTCTAACAACAACAATCATGTCCATCACATTTATTTTTCCAGCTTTGATTTTGTAATGTCTGATATTCTTTGAGAAATCTTACATGACATTTTTTTATGTTAATGTTTAATTGAAATAACTTTTTTGTAGCCTTACAACTAGATGTTCCTGGTATATATTTTACTCATATTGAGTACAGTCCACTCCTGGGGGGATTTGCTGCAGTGCTTTCCAATGGTAAAGCTGCATTCATAACCTCACAGTCTGTCAAGTTTGAACCCAAGGTTGGTATATCATTGATTGTCTGTGTTTAAAGATAACACAATTATATCCAAGGTTGGTATATCATTGATTGTCTGTGTTTAAAGATAACGCAATTATATTGATGGCATTCATTATATGAACTGTGACAGTAACAAATAAAGTATCATTTATTTGCACATATTTTTAATATAACATCCCATTTTCAATAATTTAGTAATTTACCATGACAGTTAAAGTAATAAAAAGTATAAAATATAATCGGCGCTGTTTTCTCAGTCAATATCTCTATTTGCCCTTAAAATGATTTAACACCAACAATAAGCAAAGTTGTTATAATAACTGATTTTTCTATATATTATATATTATTGTCATTGTTTTATTACTATTGATGTTTTACAGGAATATTAATATTTTACCTTTACCTAAAACTCATTTTCTGCAGCACATAGAGGGTGTTTGGGCCCAAGATCTCAATGATGCTGCGTATGTTGCTGTCAACCACCGTTACAGACTCATGGCCTTTGGTTGTTCAAGGTACTCACTTTAATTATTAACCTACTATTAAAACCTGAGTTATTAAAGTCACCATTATTGAATTCAGAAAAAATATTAGTATGATAAGAATAATGTAAAAACAGTACTAGTTGCAAGTAGAGTCAAACATGTAAAAATATTAATATAATATATTTGAAAATACAAACAGCAAATTAAGCTTATAAGCAACTTAACTGCAAATAGAAATTTGGTACCAGTGTTTAGTGGCTCAGTTGGCAAGATTATAATATTTAGGCCTCTTCAAACTCAGTTTCTTGAGCCATATGTTGCCAATTGTAATTATTGGGATTAATATGTATTAATCTTAAATTAGGACTACAATAGACTATTAAAAAACTAAACTAAAATAGACCATTAAATCCTGCCACCTTTTGATAGATCAAAGAACCTATGATATATTGGCTAGATTGATGATGTCATAGGTTGTTCTTTCTCAAAATTAGAAATAAGTTAATCCTATTTTGGCTTGGATAGACTGCTACCAACAACCAATGCCATCAGCAATCTATCAAATATCTCCTTGCTTCTTTAACCTTCGAAAAGGTGGCAGAATTTACAGGAAAGGTCTATCAGAGGTTGAGCCAATATACATGTACTTGCCACTAGAGTAAACCATCCATATTGACATTTCAGTGGCAGTGCAGTAGTGTACAATATTGATGAAATGACAGGTGCTCTTCAAGTCTCACATAGACTAGCAGTCTCAAGTAAAGACTATCCAGGTAATACATTCCTCTTAGTATCTACATGTAAGATTAAAGGAATGTTGTGATTGCACATTGTTTGCAGATGTTGGATTTGACTAACCTAACTCTAAGTATGGCAACAAATTTTAAAAAATGGTAATATATTGTAGATTCACAGTTTATTTAAAGAGTTAATTTAATCCTTGTTTCCCTGATTTTGACCCCTTTTGCCATATGTATTCACCTGTTTGTGTGTCAGATGGAAATTGCTTCAACCTTAGAAAAATTGATCGTTTTAACCCATTTCTAGAAACCCTCAAACAGCTTGGACACTTCATGATCAACAAAGTTCAATGCTGTCCTAGCTATTCGTATACAAGAAAAAATAAACATGTTATTTGCTTTCCCCTTGCAGATGCAAGCCAGGTGACAGGGTGTATTACATGTATGCGCTGGACCCCTGATGGTTGTGCCATTGCAGTCACCTGGAGTAAGGGAGGATATTCTATATGGAGCGTCTTTGGAGCTCTTCTTGTTTGCTCACTAGGGGACCCACATGGGTATGTGCTATGATACAGTCTTCTAAATCTGTTATTTTGCAATCATACAATGTAGTTTAGAACACTTTGTAAACTTTTTGGTGTCAATGAAATAAAGTATGAAACTGAAATCCCTTTTTTAATCACTTTAATTTGAGTTTAATTTTTGAAGATGATTCACAAAAATTGAGGTATGAACAAAATGCTTGTACACAAGGTTTGTCTGTGTACTAGCATGTACATGTGCATTGTTGGACACTCAATTGCACATCATGATGTCTTGAAATATGCAATTACATGTATTTGTTTAAAAATAGTATCTGAGCTCAAATTGTACCTGTCTAAAACCTTTTTTTCAGGTCAATTGACCATGAAATAAGTGCCAAGCAGAAAAAGCTGTTAATAAAGTCAATGGTGAGTTTTATTCTTTCTGATACTGTACATTCTCCCACTCAATATTTGTCAAGATGATCAGACTGTTTGGGGACAATTTGAAGAATCTACATTTGAGGATCAAAGGAAAAGGGGGGTTAAAAGAAATGCCTCTGTCAATTCGTTCATATGTCCAGCCATCCATGTGTCAAACTGCATCCGTCCAGTCAACTGTTCAAATCTTCTGCAATTGGAAATACAAATCCTTCTAATTATTAAAGTTATTATTAATATTTTTCTAATGGTAATTAACTCAGCATTGGCATGTGTATGCATATGTTCCTATTCAGAACATATATATCGATTTGAAATGGACAAAGAACTGCAAATTTTCATTGTAGCTATACTAAGGCCAATATTCTATCTACATTTTTTGGACAGCATTAAGTACTAAATACTTTACATTCTTATTTTATTCAAACAACAACTGTTTTTGAAATCTCTATTTCGCTAGGAATGGGGTGCAGAGGGGTATCACCTATGGCTTATAGCAGAAGATGCAACTAATGAACAATCAACTCAACCAGTGCAACATACAAAGCTTTTACAGATAGAGTTTGTGAAAAGTGCTTTGACAGTGAATCCATGTATGGTAAGCTATACATACAGCCCTTTCATTCCAATGTGGCAACTTTCAGCACACATGAAGCAAAAAACACTGTAAATTACACATTTTTTACATAGCTTTTGTCACCTAAGCCTTCAACTGGTAAAAGAGCTGACTGTTTTCTGTTTTCTCAAATTCACACATGTACAAAAAGTTCTGTACTTCAAATGGACAATATGTGAGATGCATATTGAATATAATAAACATGTATGAGCTTTCTGTTTTCCAGAGCAACCATGAACACTTATTTTTACAAGGACAAGATAAACTGTATATCAATACTGGAGATACTATAGTGAAATCTACTGGTGATAATTTAGCAGAGGGAGTAAGTCCAACTCAAGAAGAGCCTCCTAGTAGAGGAGATAGACAGTCAGTTCTTATAGGCAATAAACAGTGGCAAATAGTACCTGTACCTTTAACTTACTTAGCTTCCAATTGGCCAATACGGGTAAGTACAGCATAGAATATAACATTGTGATATCTAATGATTTAAAGTGTGTTCCTTTTAAGTGCTTAAGTTTTGATAAATACTACATTCAACAGAATATAGATTTTGCAGGTTGATGTCAATATCTTCAGAGCTCCTAGTATCTATGATGCATTTTTCAAAATATACTCTTTCCAGACACAATCACACATAATATACTCCAAAGTTACATGAAGATTGTCTGTAGAAGTAACTCATGCAATCAAAATCTTCATTTGTCTTACTAAACTTATAGGAGATACATATAGACAGTATGATATTTAGTATAAATGATAATATTCCAGTACACTGCAATAGACAGAACAGGTCAGTGTTTAGCAGTAGCAGGAAAGATGGGTGTCGCTCACTATGCGCTTTTTAGTAAGAAGTGGAAATTGTTTGGCAATGAAACTCAGGTACAATATTTTGAATATCCAAATCCTGTAATTGTTAATTTAGGCAGTTTAAGCAAACTATCATTTTTACCATTTTACCATATCTTGATTACCATAGTATATACTTTAGTAAAGAAGCTAGAAAATCTTGTATCATTAAATACTGAACATCATATCACATATAGTAACTTAATATGTTTGTTTCTTTATTTAAAAGCTCTCCCAGGGATGTCCAAATGTTTAATATTCATATTTTTGAAAAAACTCATTTTTTGTCTATTTGCATCTTTTCCCTTTGTGCTTTCCTAATATGTTCTCAATTATATTGAGGGGCCTGTGTCAATGTACAATATTTCAGTGTATTTCTATTTTCAGGAACGTGATGTAGTGGTTTCAGGGGGCCTCACTTGGTGGCGAGACTTCCTGTGCCTTGCATGTTACAATCTATTAGACCAACGAGATGAGGTACATTGTCATTATTACATAATACTAATATGTTTATGTCATTGTGTATGTTAGATTCATTCATCAAATAAAAATTAAAATAAATGGAGAGGTCTCTCTCTATTATCTATATGAGTAGTAAACTAGTAATGCTACTCATTAATTATAAATGAAAAATGAGAACTTATAAACAGAATGAAGTTTAATTAATATGAATACTTTTTTCCAGATTCGGTTTTATCCACGTGGTACCAAACTTGACAACACATTCTCATGTGTTACTAAGGTACCATCTCAGGTGCTGCTGTTGAACACATTTAGGGACATGCTCATCATCCTTTGTGCTGACTGTCACATCATGCTGTACAGCATTGAGAGAAAGGCCTCTCAACCAAGTAAGAATCACCATCTAATATGTTTTCAATTTGATTTTCAAGACATGTTTAAACTAGTGTTGAAGGAAATACCAACACTATATATAAAAAATTAATATATCACGAGACAATGCAATACCTGGAAAAGTGCATGCACTCTTTAAACTCCTTCGATCTGTACATTCTATTTTCTTCCTTCTGACATGCAATTAAAATATACTTATTGGTAGGGAAGTTGATTGATGACCTACCCAAATCCTCAGCTCTCTGCACTATGTTTGATTCTCTACATTTCAGCTCCTACTGTTGAGATGAGTAAAATCCAAGAAGTTGCTATTGGCAACTTCATCCCACATCCAGCAGCTGTAGTTGCCATCACACTTACATCCCTCAGGACAGAGTCAGGTAGGATATTTAAGGTTTTGTGCTACTCACCTACATGTATTTTACATCTACTATGTACTTTATCTAGCTTAAAACTGTCTGATTTCAATCTATTACATGTACTTATTTAAGTATTTATAAGCCACAATGTTTTTATGTCATTATCACTAGCTTCTTATTTTTCTCGTAGATTAATTCATGAATTTGAAATGTCGTAAAGTTTTTAAAGTATTTACCAACATTTTAGTGAATTTGAATATCTTGGAATGAGTAAGAAGTATTTTACATTAATTAAAGATTATCATGAATACACAATATGGCACCCACCTTTACATCCAGTTACCTTATATTTCAGCTCCAAGCAGGCATACGCCTGAGACTAAGGAAGCTGAGAGCATCATATTAAATGTTGCTGGGAAACTTCTCATGTTCCAGCGAGATCGTTCTGGTCACCAAATTTTGCAGAGAGAGGGAGTTAAACACAGACCAGTATGTACAAAGTATCTTTAGTGTACTTACTTTTAGAAAAAACACTTTCAATTGTACCCCACCTCCTTCCAAGGATTATTTTAAGCATTTATAGGATATTTATTAAGTATAAAATAGAATATGACAACTGGTTATTTTAAATTTTGACTCTCTCTGGAATCCATTTGAGCCACCCTGTCACTGTCCATTCTTTTATAATACATGATTTTATTAATATTTTTCTACATTGTAAAAAATGAATCGCAATATCTTAATAACAGTTCAAATATAACTTATTTTCTTGTTTTATTGATGCATCAGTACTTTATGAGGAAATATATTTGGAAGTATAGAAAGTATAGTGTATCTAGGCCTTCACCTAGAAGACAACAGACTGGGTCTGATACGGTATTTCATGGTGTTATATTGTTGGGATATTAAAATGTTTCATTCTCTTAAATGGAATACCTGGGCATATTTCACAAACAATATTCCGAGAAGAAAGTATTTGTATTTCACTCTTCCATATCTGTCCCTTGTCTTGTTATAGAAAGGATATTAAGAAATAAATCATGGACAATAAAATTACAAGAAAATATAACATGACATTTCATGTCATGATTGAACTGAGCTGTCACCGATATCAGGATGAGAAATATACGAGTTTTACAATGTTTCAGAATGTAGGATTAAAGGTCCTTGATTTTACTCACCTCCCATACAGGGTCTCATAGAAATGAATGATGCTTAAATAGTATTTGGATCAATGATTAAATAGTATTTGGATCAATGAAGAGAATCAATTAGCTTTACTCACAATAAAATATCTTGCAACTTTTGCAAATGTGTCTGGTGGTGTTTGGTAAAAGATGATACTCTTATCATACTAGCTGTTTGAAGCCTTTCAGTGGACAGATATGGGACTAATCACACTATTCTGAGGTGCAGTGTGGGTAATAATTCTTAAATGATACTATCTGTACTTGCAAAATGAACAGTCCTTTAGTGCTTCAAAGGTGAAAATGGTGATGGCTGTTGACTTTGGTTAAAAACCAGAAATCATTTCTACAGCTTCCAGTTAAGGATACAAATATGTTTCTGAATGTTAGATTTGTTAAAAATACTTTTTTGATTGAATCATTTTATCTTAAGTAACAAATCCAATATGTACTGTGCATGTATCTGCAAATATTGGATTTTGGATCAAAGACTAAGCCAGAAGCTTTTAATTGTACACTGTAGCATGTTAGCAGGTAATTGAAATATACTCTAAAAGATTTTATACACATACATAATAGTGGCGCCCATCTAGAATTGAAAATCGAGATATTAACCTATGTTGGTACATATGATCAATAAAAAATATTGAAATATTTCTGAGAAGATAATACTAAACTATAATGCCTCTATATATATTACTCTGTGTATGGTTAACCCCAAGCTTTATAAAAGATATATAAATTAATGAGAGGTTTTTAATGTGTGTGTATTGTCTTTTCCAGCTTCCATTCTGTGCTCCAGTGATGGTAGCCTCTACTGTGGAGAACATGTGGTCAACATCTCGCTCTATTGCAAACAAAAGTCACCTCATGGAGGCCATGTGGCTGGGCTGTGGTGCACAGGGCATGAAGGTTGGAGACTACTCAATATCTTTTTTAAATTTGCATACAAGCCCTTAGCTCCCATACCACCTCCCACCATACATAAATCGTCTTGTGCAAAAAAAAAACACATTAATGTTTGATTCAGTCTTGCAAGATGATACCTAAAAAAATCTAAAGGAAAACACATACTTTATTATATTGTCTATCCTAAAGTGTATTTCTTGTTGAAATCAATATAAAATTATTGGCCATACCAATAATGGTTTGGATATTTATATGTATGTCCAAATCTGAGTTCTTAGAAGTATCAGATGTTCAAAATTAATTTTCTGTATTTTGGGGATAGCTACAGTGTAAGTGATATTATGCCCTCATTCTCTTTTTACAGGTATGGCTTCCCCTCTTTCCAAGGACAGAAATCAAAGCTCATGGGTTTCTCTCTAAACGTATCATGCTTCCATTCCATGTGGATATCTACCCACTTGGTAAGTTAAAGCGCAATCTTTCAAATAATTAAAGTGTAGTGCTTACCATGTTTGCATAAAATTGCACATATGGGTTCGATGCTTCATCTGAATAAATATATACAACTGTATTATTCAATTATATGTGAATGCATGTATGGACAATTAAAATAATTATTTGCTTATTTCAGCTGTGTTATTTGAAAATGTGGTAATCCTTGGCGCAGCACATGACATGACTTTGTACCAAAAAACTGCAGCAAGATGCAATCAGCCATATCTTACACTTGAACGTACTGTAAGTCTTCAATGCAAACATTTTAAACTCATTTCACTTTCATTTAGAATCATTTTGAAGTTAAAGCAAAATGATGCAATCAGCATGTCATTCTCATATTACTTTTGCATATACAAGAACTTCGATTTTTCAACATGATTTTTGTGTGCTTGATTTTTGTTGCAATTTTAACAGTTATGGCCATTTGTATTTATATATATTCAATTTTAGCATAACCCATACCTATTATTTTGTTTCACATTGTATTTTAGAGTCATATCTACCTACATCATGTCATAAGGCAGCTGCTGAGGAGAAAGTAAGTGCAACAATATAATAATATGCAGAATTATTCAATGGTCACATACTGCAATCTCTATACTAACAATATAAGCCTCTGATATTAGTATAATCATGCATTAAGCATTATATGATAATGATATATAATATGATAATGTATATGATACAGAATCCATTTCACACTCTTGACATGACCTGTTTCACACTCTGACGAGCAAATCATTAATTTTTATTTGAAAACCATTATTGACAGAAGACATATATAATATCAGAAATATTTTGGTTTAGTTTTTGGCCATATTGGTTAAATCTTACAATGGCTTTAATTTTTCTGTCCCAAATGTCAAGGAAGTCTTGTTTACACATTTCCAAGTAGCCAATTGATCATGGACTTTGATTTGTTGCAGTCTTGGTGTACATGCCTTGGAGATTGCCTCATGTTGTACAGAGCTGCCATACTTCCCTCATGTACTGGAACTATTACTTCATGAAGTCCTGGAGGAGGAGGCCACCTCTAAAGACCCTATACCAGGTAAATATAGTTGTGTGTGGTAGCACAAAGTTGTCATACAGGCACAGTGATGTTTCAGTTCATATCATGTGAAAAACAAATGGATCTCAATATGTAAGAGTTAAATCATTCTTTGGGATGCTTGGGATTTGCTTACACCTGAACTTTTATATGTTATTTGTTATTACATTGATATTTGTTGTTTGAGTCATTACTCTTCTTGCAACTGAGCTTACACATTTAAAATTCACATCCTTTTGTTTTTCACATATATGAATTGAAACATTAATGTGTTGAATTAAAGTGAATTTAAAACTGATTGATAAGTAGATTATATCTGCTATGAAGCTAGAAATTCTTTATGTGATTTTGGACACGCCCTTTGTATATTGATAATTTAAAAGTTAAATAAAAAACTGAAAATGACAATGAATCATGATTATTTCAGATCCACTGTTGCCAAGGGTGGTAGCATTTATCCAGGAATTTCCAGAGTATCTTCAAACTGTTGTCCATTGTGCAAGGAAAACAGAAGTAGCTTTATGGCACTACCTCTTCACTTATGCTGGAAGCCCCAAAGATCTGTTTGAGGTACTTTATTCTCTGTAGTTTGATTTCATGTACCAATTACACAATAGGTCCCAGATACGATCTTTGGTTCAGGCAAGACTTATTTAATTTGCTTGTTAGCATAAAGTACTTTAATATGTTTGACTGAGTTGTCCAAAACCCATACAAAAGGCCATGGTGTGTACTTGTATGACTATGTATGGCAGCGCACATAAAGAACACAGAGCTTCTTCAATGTGCTCTTCTGGATCTGCCTTTGATGATTGCAAATGTTAATAATTACAATTATATACTATTAAGGGATATACACCTTCATTGGTGGTAAACAAAATACAATTCAATATATAGTAATGTTCAACTTTCAGGAGTGTCTAACTACAGGCCAACTAGACACTGCAGCCTCATACCTAATCATACTTCAGAACCTGGAGAAGCCTCTAGTCAGCCGCCAGGTAACTTTCTTTGATTGATTATTTTAACTTGTTTATGAATAGTCGTCCAACTAAGTAAAGGGTATGAGATCCAGTTTATATTTACAAACTTAGACATTTTCAAGCCTATAGTAAAAATTTCTACCTAGTCCATTGTACACAAAGTAATGTAAAATATGCATGAAACTCAAATTAAATCTCCAATATTATGTGATATTTCAATATGGATGACATTTCGTATTATATAATTTGTATCGTATTCTTGATGGTTGTTTATTTATTTTAAAGCATGCCACTTTACTTCTGGACTCTGCCTTGGACAGCCATAAATGGGAACTCGCTAGAGATCTTGTACGATTTCTCAAGACAATAGGTACATTATATATACATTAAAGTATGATGGATTATAAGTGTTTACGAGTTTATTTGGTGAATAATAGCACTTTGACATGATTCTTAAGTTATAAAAATGAAAAAAACTGGTAAGTATAAATTATTATTTCTAAATACTTCTATATGAAGTACATGTATTTCTATGCTATAATAAGCTGCTTGCTTTGAGGCTACATTTTGCTTGAATGCAGTTTTACAGTACTGAAATTTCACCTTATGTCATTTTATATTGGCCAGTGTGAATAGAATAAACCTGTCATTCTGTTTGAGTTTATGTTTGAAACTTAGTTTGAGTTTATTTTTGAAACCTTGTAGATCCTAATGAAGCTGCTGAATCTCCACCTCTCATGTCCCCGATCACTCGTGCTATTTACTCCCCAGGTGGCTACATCACGCCACCTATTAGTCCTCCAGTGGATGAAGACATGTCCGCCTTCCCATTTGCCAGCCAAAGTCGCAAACGTGCAGTATCAGTCACAAAAAATGATTACATGAAAGATAAAAAGGACAAGAAAACCTCAAGAAGTGACATACTCAATATCCCTAAAAGGTAAAATGATAACTTCATTTTGACTCAAAAAGATTTTTCTTTGTTTGCTGAATTGAGCATTGAGTTGAACATTGAAATTAAAGATCAATATCGCCTTTAATTTCAAATACACTCCTAAGTTTCCTGAAATTCAACCATATATTTGTAGATCTGTAATTAAAACATATTTGTTTGTTATTGTTAGGCCATCATCAGGTTCTAAGGAGGACACATCTCAGAATGCTGAAGAATTCTTCATAGACATGATTCTCCACAGACATGCCAGGAAACAACTCTCTTCTCACAATCTCAGAGATCTCGGTTGTTTTGCCGCTAACCTTGAAGATTATCAGTTTGTCGCTTGGCTCAAGAAAGAAAAGTAAGTTGCATCCTTTAATATGTTGCATATATCAATGTCTATATCCATTAATAAGGTTGAAATCTGATATAATACAAAATGTTTCTTCATGTAAAAATTGATTGGTATTTATTAGTCACTGGAATGCAATGTACTAAAAGAAGCATGGTAGTATTAACATTAATTCAATCACTGCATATAATAACACTTTGTCTATTCATGAACGATACCTCAGGATTGGTGTCCAGTGTTGACAGTGGTGGAGAAATGAAGAAAATATTGATTTACCTCCCCCCAAAAAAAATTAACTACTTTATTTCACAATCATTGACAATCGGACACCATCTCTTAAAGAGGATCTAATCTACTGGTTATCTCATCTTCTACTCCTCAGATTACGTGCAGGGAAGGTGGAAGACTTTGTTGACGCATTGAAGAGCTTACACAGGGACTTCAACTGGCCTTTCCCCATCCTCTCTTATGACATATTCTGTCAGATTAACAAAACTTCACCTGGTAAGAAGTCCCCCTCAGTAACCTTTAACCCACATCGAATGTGTATTTGAAATGATCACCATGTCATTTAAATAACGGCTACGTTTGTTAGGATTCATCTGTCATCAGTGGTGGATATTAGAACTTGTTAGGATTTCTCTCTTTAAATGGCCATTTATTATAATATACATTTGACAATGATCACAATGATCTCTCATGTAGATTTGACACATCCCATATATTACACGATTATTTTACATTCTTGATAATACATAATTACAATAATGTACTAAACAAATATTTTACTGTACATATTATTTCAGCAATATGCATTTCTGCTAACAATGTTACCAATCATAATGTATACTACCTGTATCAGATTTTCCTCTTATATGACCCAATATTATATTATAATGTATACGTTTTGATCATGTTTTATTCATTGAAAGTACTTATTGAAATTATTCCCATTTATTTTGTTCTGACAACAGTATTTTTCCTGGACATATTTTCAAATATCTGGACCTTTCTCATAACAAATTCTTTTGCTATAAATAATAATTACATCTCAAAATCTTTTTAAAATCAATCAATTTTTGAAACAAAATTAGGCTTTAATGCTATTTGATAACCAGGGCCCTTATCATGAAAACATCAGGTTGTGTAGTATTGATATACAAATCTGTTTTTTTTTCATTCAGTTGGTATGAAGTCGGGTCCTAGTTCTAACTTACTGGATGATGACATCAGTAGTATTATGTCTGACCTTGAGGTTGTGACAGTGGCGACACCTGGTAGACCTCTCACCCTGTCCACTGGGGGCTTCAGGCAGAGGGTACCATCTGACCCTAACCTGGTCAACAGTGGGGAGGTATATCTCAAGCCCCAGATCAGCAGAGGTAAGGATATAGATTTGATTTTTATTTGTCAAATGAGAAAAGATCTGAAAATAATTCCAGGATAGCCAAATTCAAACCTTTATGTCCAGACTGTCTAATAAAAATGTTGCTAAATATCAAGTGAAAATCATCTCCTTTAACATTTATGAGATAATGATAATTTATGTATAAGGTATTTATCAAACTTGATTTAGATGATTTGAGTCACACCAGCCTTACAGAGGTGTCAGAACAGAGTTCTACTCTTGGTGACAGTGACATGACACCAGAGCAAGGAGACTGGTTAGATGTCATCTCACTCAATGAATTAGAACAAAGGAGTCAGCAGCTTGCCAACAAGGGACCTCAGCAATCAGAAGTGGAACTAAGGTAAATTCATATAAAGATTATTGAATAAACAAACTTAAAATTCTAATTTACATGACAGTCTACGCTCTAGTAGGAGTGCCGAAGTGAGAAGACTCCATTAAGAATTAACACGACCAGACAATCCCAATCATTCAATATCATCACATTGCTACGCCTGTCCTCAGGGTATTAGTACTAGTTTAGAAGGCTTACATTCTACTACATACACTTGAGCAATAGTGACAGGCCATAGTGTTCATTCCGAGTTTGTATTTAGTTTTCAATATGTGTTTATAATAGTAATGACCTCATTACAGTGTGCAAGCCAATTGAAATGAGGTTATCACAATATGGATTCAATGGGGTGAACACATGACATTTCTGTTACATCCATTTGTTCAGTAATGGGAAGATCTTGTTTTCTTTGTTGCAGGTACCTGTTACAGGTGATGCTGGAAGCAGGCTGTCTTGAATGGTCCCTCCTCATCTCCTTGGTGCTACGTGATGCAATGGCCGTAGTTCGCACAGTCAATACAGCTAGTCTCACTGAAACTCCCCTCGAGATCATTGCCAGGATGCGAGAAGGTCTCTCTTTTATAGAGCTGTGGGCCGATACAGAATGGTATGGATATATTTTCATATTTTACATTTGGGTTCTTGTTCTTACATTTGTACTACAGTGCAGCCTAAGGACTGGTTCATTGCTTCAATCGACTGAATGAATATTACTAAGATGCAGATGACAGCACATATGGTAAAAACATATCATGAACATGAAGTATCATATAATTGAATTGGTAGTGCATGTGTCTTATGTACTAATCATCAATAAAGGAGTCTAGTACATATCATCTGGGTTTTTTTCTTGTTACAGATATACCGGGTATGTATTTCATGGTGGACATTTTGTCAAAATTGTTACGATTACAGAGATATTTCTTTCAGAGTTGTGATTAAGTTTATTTAACACTTTTACGTTATATTAATATGTCATATTACAGTCTGGGTTACAAGCCATTCCTCCAGGCCATAAAGGTCCAGAGCCAACAGCTTGCAAAACTAGTCGAGACAAACCCTCCCAGCAAGTTCAACTCCACAAAGAGGCTGAGTATCTCCTCACAGGAGAGTGGCAGTAACACAGACATTGACGCAAGTAGTCTAAGACTAAGTGACTCTCAATCAAGTCTCACTCCAGTGAAGAACCTCACTCAGAATGAAATTGAAGATGTGACATTAATGGAGGAGGAATCACAGTGTGCAGTGTCATAATGATATGTTTGGAATAGAATGTTTAATGTTATTTTGAGTTGAAGAGTATGTTCAATTTGGAGCTACACAGTGCCAATATACAAGAGTAAAATATCAAACGTCGAGTCGTCGACCAGATACAAGTCAGTTCTATTTGGATTGGATTTTGATCAGTAGTTGAGAAGTTGGTTACCTGACTAAACTCTACAATTTACATGCTCTATCTGAACAATTTTGATGTCAGTTGCAATACAGTATAGTATTAAAATTTTTACCTCTAAAACTGAATATGTGTGTATTTCCAAATACTGAATTTCAATCAATATTTTAGTTATTTTCAGCATGGACCAAAAATTGTTGGTGGCTGTGTGAAATTAATCTTGACTATAGCAGCAATTTAATATGTGTTCAATGTCACTCCTATGAAGCCTTCCTGAATTTACATGGTTTCTTCTTGAATATCATGTCAATGCTGAACATATACAGTAAAGCCTGTCTATTGTCAAAGTGGAACACCTTTGGTACCCCTAAAAAGTGTTCCACTCGAGAAGTGTTCCACTATTAGAGGCTAATACAACATTAAGTAAGGCTTTACTGTACTTCAATGTTTTTGTTTAGTGGTGTAAATAATTACAAATTATCACTTGTGTAATTTTTATTGTAAGATGGCTTCATTGGTGAAAATATAAATCTCCACACACTTGTGTCTGTCTACTTGTAAAGTTTATCCCATGTACTGTTTTATTATGATTCGACTATCATAACAGTCATGTCAATTTCCAATACATATTAGGGTAGGACAAATAATGATATGTTTAGTATGTCCAATCACACATTCATCCTATATATATATATGCAATTAGACCATGACTGTAGTATCTATTTTATCTCTTTTGGCAAATGTATATGATTTGTATTAGTCATATCATGTCATCGAGCATTGCAATAAAATGCATAACAATTCATCCATATCTACAATTATATGTAAGATTATAGGTCATTATATTTATGAATTACACTTAAAGTGGTAATAATATTATTCTAATTGATATTGTATACTGGAGATTTGTTCTTGGTTAGGTACAAACTTTTCATTTTAAATCGCCTAAATGCCGAAAAATGAGTAAAAATATCTCAAATGGGTGCAAGTCGATTCTCATCTGGGTGCAACTCGATTCTCATCTGGGTGCAACTCGATTCCATCTTGGTGTATGTGGATTCTTGTCTGTGTGCAAGTGGATTTTTGTCTGAGTGCAATTGATAAAGTTGCACCCAGTTGCTACAATTACATTTCGCTGCGTGTTTGTTAAAATCATTGCCTCTATACTCAAAGCACCGACTGATCGACATAAACGTATGCAAATATAGACAGGGATTATAATTTCCGGGGACCAAAATCTTTTAGTTTTGGTCCAAAGTACAGATGTGTAGCTTGGTTTTATATTAGAGTGTACATAGTGGTACAAATGTATTAGTCACCATGTGTGATATCATTGAATCTCTCTGGTAGAGAGACAGAAACTAGGGGTGTATTACCGAAAATGTAGTTCAAATCAGATATCATGACATCATATATAGAAAATAAGAGGAATTTTTAGCCTCACAAACAATTCTGGTAATGTAGGACCCCTGAATAATGGAGTATTGGAGGAAGAGTATGGAGCATATAACTGTAGGACATTTAGCTTGGAAAATCATAGGATATAAACAAACTGTTTATTATATCATAATATAAAATAAACTATTTTTAAAAATGTGTATATAGAAAATTTAAATTATATTATATGAAGTAAAGAAATATAGCCACATGTATCATATAGATGAAGAACAATTTGTTTGAATGTTAATTTATTTCTGATTTGATAAAAAGGAGAATGGGTATTTTGTTTGTGTAATGGGATGAATGGGATTTCCACTTTGATTACAATGTAAGATGTTTGTATCTGGTGGATGTGACCATATTACAGTTGCATTACTAATCATCGCCACAAAAAGCAACCTGGGGAGTGATGATATTCTTAATGAAGATCTTTAAAAGGGACATGGTCACTGGAAGACAATGGGCTTGAATGTTTTTTTAGACTGCGACTTTGAAGAGTATGTCACATTGTGATAATGGGTGCCCCAAAAGTAACAGGACTGTTCTTGCCATTTCGGTAATACCATATACACTAATTTAATAGTGCATACATACCTTACTTAATTTTCATAATGTATTTGAACGTGTTGTGTGACCAGAAATGTTTATAAGTCGAAAATTATTTAATGAACGCAATTGGAATTATTCAAACCGAAGAATCGAACTGAACATTTACAAACTCACACATTGCTCTTATTAAAGGTGCAACAATAAGTGAAGGGGGGGGGGGGCATTCAACGATCATAAACCAGTGTCAAAATATATTTAAGTTTGGACATTTCATCAAGACTAACATATATTTTTATTATCTACAAAGAAACCCCCCGGATGAACATTATTTCAGCTGATAATCCTCTTGAAGCGTGGTGAATCTTAAAAATCGATAAGTGGGACTCCCTTTATAGAAGCTTTGAAGTGAATTTACACTTCTTAATGCTGAAATTGAGAGTTTATCCATACATTTTAAGAAAATAGGTATGAGCTCAGAAAAAATATAAAAAATCAAATTTTCTCTATACAGTTCTTGTTGCCCCTTTAAATGAGTCGGAGAGCCGAAGTTTGTGTCGTAATCAAAATAAAAATTTGGCTTTGTTCAGTGTAATGCTCAATCTTTGTCATTTTTAAGAAATTACTCCTCGATACTGTATGCAAACCTGCGCAAGTTGTCAAAAGACCCGACTGCATTCCTCAGCAGGTATGGCCTGAATGACACGTATGATCTCCCTTTTGAGGTGTGCAATTTTCCTGGGGTCATTCTAGTACACTCTATCTTTGGTGTATCCCCAAAGGGTAGAAGTCAGGTACGGACACTTTGGGCGACACACGCAAGTTTGCCTATAGTGCGCAGGTGGCGGGGTGGCCACTGGAGCATGTTGTTTAAAGTGATGTAACATTGTAACTATCAGTCTGACGGTTATAAAATATGGCAGTATGGTAACGTTTGAAATTTAATGTTGTATAAATGTGCCAAATATCAGGGGGTAATTTCATAAAATAACACATGTGATAAATTGCGGCAGGTCAATTTTTTACCATCCTATTATACATTTTGTTCTTAAAGCCGGTAATCATAAGTAACATATTTTTTATTAATAATTATATTCATATAAGCATCATTTCAACGTTTCAAGTTCAACTGTCATGTAGGCCTAATCTAGGCCTAATCGATACAGTGAAATACACAACCAGATAGCCCACGATGCCGATACAAGAAATTTCCCGGGACTGTCCAAGTAATGCATCAAAATGCTCTGAACGAAGTATTGATCTAAATAGGTTAATATTATAGCTCCGTTTCGAGGCTCAGCTAATCCCTGGTAGCCAATGTGCGATGCTTTACACATACTTGGAGCACTGTGACCTAGCCTGATTACTGAGTCTGTAGGAAGGTATTGTGTAATTTTGTATACGCATGTGGTTAGTGGGTAGAGATTTCTTTTGACCGAGGGCCCCGCGCAGAAAGGTAGCAGATATGTGACTGGGTGATCGGCATGCTCCGAAGTTCACTGGCAAGTTTTATCGCCCACTGAATCCTTACCCCGGGATCCTTACAGCCCATGATCACAAAAAAAACTTTCACTGAGAAACATCACGGACCCTCTTGTACGATACTCCGGTGCATAGAATACAACGTGACCAAAGGAGAGTCAGGCGATTGAGTATTTAGCTAAACCCGGAAATATGTTTAGAAGCATTAGTGCACTGGACGAACCCCCTTTCAATCTACTCTCCCGGGACAAAGCATCGCATATATCCGCAATAAGTCTACTAGAGTATCCTTGCTACAAGGAGAAACATAAATGAAGTCCTTTGAAGAAGGATGTTACTAAAAAGTACCCTTTCCATCCTAACATGTGATCATAAGTTTAGAAGGCCTAATCTTTGTTTAGAAGGCAAAAGGCCTTGTATTTTGCAAAATGCTTGTATTTTCCCAAAATATGTCAGTTATGTTAAAATGAAATATTGAATGTACCAGTAGGCCTTAATCTATTTAGTCTTGCTTATAAGACCCTTGACCCTCTCCTCTGACTCTCAACGTCAGCGGTCAAGGTGCACGTCACTTATTAGGCGCGGCCGGGGGGTTGGCAGTCTTCAGGAATTCGGTCTAATAGATCTAATCATTCGCGGCAGGATTGACGATGCTCAATCTGTGCCTCTGCAAGGTCTCGAATTTCTGATGGCAGGTTTTTAATGACATTCTTTATGATTGCCACATTATAAATATGAATTATACACCAATCATACTAGATATTTCATACACTTTTCTGTTCAAGCATTGGTTGGTTTTTATGTGGCAATGGCTGATCTAAAAGGCAAGAAGGTTGTGTTCACAGGGGCACTCACAAATCAAACACGTAGTCAAGCAACCAAAGCTGCAGAGAAACGTGGTTGTAAGGTGGCGGCATCTATTAGCAAGGCAGTAGATTATGTTGTAATTGGGGAAAATGCAGGCCAAAAGGCAGACAAGGCAGAATCGTTAGGTAACTATGTTGAAATACGTTGAATTAAAATGCATGAACTATTTGCATCAAAAATAGTGTAAAGCAACATCATACGGTATTGCAATTTGTTTTGAATCCGTTTCGAAAAACAGCTACGAGTATTGTATTTTTTCTATTCGATACGCGATCAAGTTACAAATCAGTGAAAATAGAGGATCTTCTTTTTTATATGTTTCTATATTTGCATGCGATTTTTGCATTGACACTTTACTTCTGGTCTCCGGATAAAATGATTCGTCAAATCAAATATTATTGTAATTGCAGGAATCAAGTGCCTCACGGAGGATGAATGGGAGGACATGGTAAATGTAACATACTTTTTCAAAACTAGTTTAAATAACTTAAATCAGGCTCTCATAACCATAATAAAAATACTTTATTGCTAGAATGATTAACATGAAAAATATTACTATATATTTTTAGCTTAGTGGTAATTCAGCCAAGAAAGCGAGACTAGACAGCCCTGAGTTGGACGATAGTGAAAATATGGAATCTCACGAGGAAGGTGCTAGACATGATTTAGATCTGAAAGGAAAGAAGGTTGTATTCACGGGGGCGCTCAAAAATCAAACACGTAACCAAGCAACCAAAGACGCAGAGATGCATGGATGTAAGGTGACGGCATCTATTAGCAAGGCAGTTGATTATGTTGTAATTGGGGAAAATGCAGGCCAGAAGGCAGACAAGGCAGAATCGATGGGTAATTATTTAAAACTTTTTTCATTTATGAATTCTTGTGATTTTGGATAGACCGAATAGCACTTTTTCAAAACACATGGACCGCTCTGCGTCACATTGTTATAATCTGTTTGTAAATATGTTGAAAGGAACAATAAACTTAAATTTAAAGATATTTATTATTTGAAAAGGTTTTAATTAATTTAACCTCACGATAGTAATGAATTAGAATATTTTGTGAAAAGCAAAAGTCTATAATTATTCAAAGAATTTTGGGTAAGTTTTTTAATCATTTCATTGAAATTGTAAAAAAATCTTACACTAATAGTTTACACCAAATTTTGTTAAACTCATGTACTGTATGCAGTTAGTGGTTAGTTCAAGCAGTTTCTAAACTGCTCACTTTAAAGAGATCGGGTCTCCTAAAAACACAATTAGAGTAACCCCCTGATTTTTTCGTGTTATTTGATGTAAAACAAGTTTGTTTATCAACTTATCAATTCTGAGGCTTGAATTAATTCTTTAACTTTATCAATTCGATGATTGTTCCTAGCCATGAATGTCCACTTACATCAATAGAAATTTAAATTTAAATTTAAAAAGCCCGCTCAAATTTGTTCCAGTCTGATTGGCCTTTTCCTTCAGATTATTTTGGCTTAGAGAAGCCATATTTATTACTTCTAAGGGGTTACTATATAGATAAATCCCAAAAAACATTGTATTCTGTTTTCAACTTATTGCGTTGAATTCTGACAGTTAGTTGTTCTTTTGGTTGTCCTGTTGATATCCTCAATATATTGTCGATATCGTGCTTATGATTTGGTCTCAAGATATATCTAAGGTATACATGTATATGATGTTTTATGAGCAATTATATTGGGACATTACTGATTGTCCAGAATAGAAATCTGGACAACTCGATCTCTTTAAGGTAACAAATGTATTATATAAGTTTGATGCTTAGTTCATGCGAATACAAGAAATTTGAAATATATTTTGTATATTATACTTTTTTGTAGGAATCAAATGTCTCACGGAAAGTGAATGGGCAGATGTGGTGAGTATCATCACTATGTGTAAATTTATTAAAGATGATTTCTTCACAGTATCCTATCCTAGTTATAACCCTTCAAATCAAGATAATAAACTGTGACTTTTCTTATAAGAGAACAATTTATCTGCAATTGTAATGTAATTGTACATCGTAATAAATTCCCGATAAATTCATATGTTTTTGTAGCTAAGTCGAAATTCAGCTAAAGAAGATGGTGACTCAGCCAGTAAAGGTAGTAATTCAGCCAAGAAAGGGGGCAATTCAGCCAAGAAAGGGGATATTTCAAACAGAAAAGGGGGTACTTCAACTAAGAAAGGGGGTAAATCAGCCAAGAAAGGTGGTAATTCAGCCAAGAAAACGAGACTAGACAGCCCTGAGTTGGACGATAGTGAAAATATGGAATCTGATGAGGAAGGTGCTAAATCTGATTTAGATCTGAAAGGAAAGAAGGTTGTATTCACAGGGACACTTAAAAATCAAACAAGAAACCAAGCAACCAAAGATGCAGAGAGGCATGGCTGTAAGGTGGCGGCATCTATTAGCAAGGCAGTAGATTATGTTATAATTGGAGAAAATGCAGGACAAAAAGCAGACAAGGCAAAATCGTTGGGTAAATCCTGTTCTCATTGTTATATTTTTATTGCAGGATAATCGCATTTTGTGCATGTGGTCTATTTCTATGAGTCCAAACGCTATTCACCGTATTTAGCGAAAATTTATAGCGCGGCCAGTGAAAACAAATAAGTGTTAAAAATAGGTATTTTTCATGTAATTGAACATAGCTGATACAAAACGTATTTTTTTTATGTATTCTAAAATAGGATGCCTTTATCTGAAGTACGTCAGCATACTTTTTGATCGTTTCGATTGTAAGTAGCGTTGATATCTGGCTCCAAAATTGTGAATTTCGGTGAAATTGTCAATGTAACAGGACAACACGCTTTTGAAAACATGTCATATCTCAATAATAAATGGTCACATCTTTTAATTTTGGTTATGCTGGCATAGAGAACATTCATTCAGAGTGTGATGAGAGCACCTGATTTGATCTCCACCTATTACCGAATATATAGACTCAATAAAGTAAATGTAAAATTTATTCTGTGAAAATCGACATGGTCGTTAAGACACACCCACAGGGCATTAGGGGAATCTGAGAAAAATAGGTTATATGTGGTTAGCAAGTCCTTGATTCAGTTTATCAGACCATCGTATTCCAAATCGTGATAATAATTGTGATTGAATTATAATGAGCATTATCTGAAACATTCTGAAAATTCACCATTTTTCTTGTGAAAAACGACCAAGATGTAATTCAAACATGGGCAGCATTCTTGCGTAAAGATGGACATTATTCAAGAAAACATTATATCCACTCTATTTTAACGAAAAGATTTTACGAAATAACCTGCACGACCCCATCTATGAGCGAATATAGTGTGAAACTGTGACAATCGACATGCGTGAAAATCGACATGGTTATACCATTGGACTCAAAGCAGTAAATTAGTCATTTGTATAAATCACAGATGGATTAATTTGATTTTATATGATTACCAATACTCTGATAACACATTTATAACAGTTTTACGGTAATTTACGCATAACGATCAATTGATAGACATTGAAAAGATAACAGCTAAATAGTTTTCTCTTTGTTCAGCGTAACTTTTCCATTTTATAAGTCTTTACAAAAATACGTTACATGCAAGCAGATGTCAAGTTATTTGGAACTTCCATAAGCATAATTAACCGAAAAAAATTTACTACAAAAATCACTATGAAGACCATTACAGCCCAAAATGTGTCAACCTCTGTGAATAGTGTTTCGTTCAGTGCATTCCCGGGGATTGGTGACTGCAATCATCAAGTCTATTAACGTTTGGAATCAGTTTCCCTTTCAATGAATGCATCATTCTCAATGGTGAACAGCATAAACAGGCATCTCTAATTTGTAATATGAAAGATTTTATAGCTTTTCAACGATGTTTATTTGCTTATTATTTTTTAATTACGATCTCGGATCTACTACTCGATACATTATTACAATCTGATGTACACTATTCAGTATCCCTTCGTGAAACGTAATTCTTTGCAAAACATACAAAGAAAAACAAAAAGTAATCAATGCTCGAGAATAAAAAATCAAAAAATCAAGACATGCAGTGCATAAAATTACGTTCCTAAATCCTTATTGAAAAATATCGCCAATTGAACTAGCATTATAGAAACATAAAGCACGAGATACGCACAGGGCACGCCTTAAGCGTCGGACAGCTGGTCATTATCTGGTTACTTTTGATACTGACCAGTTGATTTTTTCACTAGGTATAGGAAAATAACATTGCAACTGGTCAGTAATGCCTTTTTGACCAGCAGCTCTGGAATCCTTAGGGCATACACTGGATACGCATGCGACGATAGAGGCAACAAAAGCAAGATGATTTTTCCCCTCTTCGAAAAATAAAACCGGGGGTAGATCACTAAAAATATATAGACTTCAAGAGTTTCAAAGAAAAACAAAACATCAGAAGAAACAAATTTGATAGCGAAAGTTATGAGATGCGAAATCAGAAATCCGAAAAAGGATCGAGTCTGACACGAAAGAAATTTGTTTCTCTAAAGCGGAAATTTTAGCGACTAAAACAAAAATCCCAGAATAAACCAAAGCATAGTAATAAAACACTTCCAGTCGCAATGAAAAAGGGTTCTTGTGATAGGAACTTGGAGAGGGAGAGGGGGGGTCATCGGCGAAGTGCTCCGCAGATAATGGTGTCAAGAGAAACGTCTCTACACCAGTGCAGATGATTTTTATGATTGAACTATACGTCACCCTTAATGGCCTGGACTCGACATCAATATCATGTTTCAATTGATAACGTAGACTCGAGTAGAATAAGGACTGGCTTCTTGATTTGGAATATGTTAAAGGGACATTTCAGATCATATCTCGATAGATGATGTTTGTACTCCAATATGACGTAAATGGTTGTCCTGTTGCGATACATGCAGGAAAAACGTCACTACGTCAACCTGCAACTGGTTTAAGCATGCATTAAAAGCAAAACCCAAAAGAAAAAATACTCAAATTGTAAAAACAAGTCAAAGAACCATACCTGGTATGTGAGATAAAAAAGAAAACACATGCCAAGGGTGTCAAAACATTAATTTGACGACATGGCATCTGTCATCCCATTGTCATTCAATCTAAAAATGTAAATCTTGGTTTCATGAATCAGTGCGATGTTTTGGTAAAGTTGGTGTGAAAAGAATGTAGAAGAGATGTGTTCAGTGCATATAAACTTTGCGGACGTAATACGTACATGTACATATACTTAGTTATTCTCTTTGACGATATTTTAGAATACAATGTGAAACACGACAGGGTTTTGACGGAAAATTTTACATAAACGTGGTCATATTTGGATACAAATACACACTGATTGTTCTCCGGTCAGCTTGTTAATATCCTACATATCAAAAATGTCGATTCGTGAAGTAAGCGGTCCCTAAAGTGAACTTTCTAACTCATTGTCATTTGTTTCTAATTGTCTTATGAAAATCGACATGCAGATGAATAGTGAACTGGCGGCCCTAATGATAAATTCTTCCCAAATAAAACTGTTACCATTTTCTTATCGTCTTAAGCATCATTTTTCATGATCGCATCAATTCATGTTTCAATAGAGTCGACCTTTGCAATTTTATTCAAATGAAAAACAAAAGGGAAGTTAAAAATTGAGAAAAACGATAGATTTTATTGGTTCATGTTGACAAAGTGATGCACATCAAAAAGAAAAAGCTTGCAGTCCAAACCCATTTGCGATTTTAAAGGATAGTTAAGTACCATGAGGAACGTTCTTGTTTTTTTGAAAATGATGCATTCTAATTTGAATAGCTGACACATTAATCAGGGGGTCAAGGTGTGAAAATCGACATGTTTGAGACGGACCCTAATTTCAATTTGAAAATTCGCCTATTTTTCCTTGGAGTTTACTTTAATGCCTTGGGTAACGAATGTACAAATGTTTGAAGATATAAAGTATATATCTATTTGGAAAAAACATTTTAGGATTTTTTTCACTTTTTAACAAAATTAATTTTACACTTAAGTGGTTTTGAGTGGGTGAATAGTCAGAGGAGTCAAAATCGAGCATTTCATGCAACTGACGCACTAATAATTGTTATTATAAGTTAAAGGAAGAATCTAATCTATAGGGGGTGACAAAATTACAAGCAACATGTATAATTGACCTACCAATCTATTCCTCACAATATCAAATACAATATCTCCCAAAAGATTCACAATACGTTATAAATTGGTGAAGTTATTAATGATTCAAAGTGCAAAAATGAGTGAAAATGTTTAGATTCTCCCAAATAATAAGAATGGTAACCATTCTTATAGAAAAATAATACATTATTGTAAAAATCTTCAGTTTTCCTGGAATAAAGTATGCACTTTTAGAAAATAGACATGACAAGGAATGACATGAGCCAAAAAATATTCTAAAATTGAAACGATTTTTTATTTAGCCTGCTCGCTATATCTGATTCCCTCTTTAATTAGTGTTTTATGTTATTACAGGTATACAGTGTTTAACAGAGAACGAATGGGACGATGTGGTAATTATATATATATCTACTTACGTATACTTCTACAATTGTAGTACAAATCATGGGCTTTCAACACAATGGGGTCAATATATGCGTTCTCAAGTTAAGCAAAACAAATGATTTTCAAAATATTCTGATTGTGTTCATTGAATCAGAATTAAAAAATTATTTTCGATTGTATGTACTTGCGAACAACGCATGTATTCTCTCTGTATGAAGGCAAAATTACAGGTTACATGTGGATAGTAAATGAGATACAAAGTTGATATTTGTTGTCTTTGTGATGCCATTTAATTAGATTGTACCTTTATATCCATAGAACTTAGAACCAAAATAAACCGTGTTAAGAGTGATTGTGAATTTTACGACTTTCTTGATTTTATTAATGGATACACGTGTACGTGGAGCGAAATAGTTAATGTCATCGTTTTAACTTCAAAGATGGCCCTTGCCTTGTTTCATTTAAGATAAGTGGTAAAGGTGGATCATCACGTCCAACTACCTCACAGTCACAGGTTAAAAGTGGTGGACCTAAACGAAAGTGTAGATATTGGGACAAATGCTTTCGAACAAACAAGAACCATCTACAGTTGTTTCTGCATCCAGAGAAACCTCAACTTAAATCAACTTGTAAGTATATTCTTTTGTATTTGTTTATCGATATATGGAGATGCATGTACAGTAGTAGTGATACTATAAGTTATTCAATGATTCGAGTGAAATACAGACAATATTTTGCCCGAGAAAGTCTGTAACGACTTTCAGGTTGCAGAGAATTTCATCATCATGGAATAAAGAACTACATAAATTCATAGGTGTTTGGAGGTGGAGGTATCACAAATGTCCTCATTCATATCCAAAAAAATAAATCAACGATGAAAATGATAGTAAACTCTGAAGTATATTTCCTCTAATCTCAACCTTTTTCCTGCCTTTGAGTGCCGTTTCATCAAAGTGGCGAAAAAATGAGTAGATACTTGTTTTTTGGAGAATTTGATTGATGATTACATTGAGATTTTAAGGAGTAGTCCTAGGGGAGGGGGATGATAAAACACGCTGCCCGTTGCAAGGATAATATCTCTCTGTTAATTCAGACTCAAATAAATATCATATTAAAACGTTTTCAAAGAATGTTCGTTTTCATTGTTGTTTTGTTTTAGATAGCATAGAGCCTGCAAACACAGAGCAAGCATGTACATTTGCCGATGTACCTGATGTCGCTCTTTTACACCTATTCCAACTCTTTGATATGGAGGACTTAGTTAACCTACTCAGAGTTTGCAAAAGATGGAATGAACTTATCGAGCCAAATGATAACCTCTGGCGCAAGTTTATTCCTAACATCGCAGGCTTTGATCCACCTGATGCAGAATCTGCTAAGGGAGTTGTTGAATCTATTTGGAGAAAAAGTATAAAAATTGGTGAAGAGAGATGGTTTCCTGACGTATCGCCAGCTTTTATAGCCCGAGTGGCAGAAATGAAGAAGTGTAGTCAATGGGGGTTTTCTGGCAGAGACCCTATGAGAGCAGGGGCTACACTCTACCTTAGACTTAACCCCATATATGACTTTGTAAAGAAAGGGGCAAGACCAAGTAACAAAAAACTACGAGGGGTGATGAAAGAAATCTATGAAACATTTAATAGGGGAAAGCCATACTTTGACCCAGAAAAAGATTCATACGAAGATGATGCTGATGAATGCGATCCTGATTGTGCTGATATCAAAGATGAAAAGGATGTCATGGAAAAGTCACAGTTGAACGATTACTGTGACACATTAACCGTATGTTTTACATGGTTTTGTAAATACTCGCTGGTATTATTTTGGTAATAAATTCACACATAGCTAGGCAAAGTGGATTCAAGCCAATCCGAACAAAGTATTTCATATAACTGCAGTGCATTATATCATCAATCACCGCATCCACAGTCGCTCCTTATGTGGTTGTCAAGGTGACAACTTGACTCTACAGATTGATATTGATGCTTTGCCAACTTGACATTTGCAAAACTTTTCGTTGAAAACGTGTTCTTTTAGTGATTTCGTATCTTTTAATTAAGTGGCATGGTAGAGAACAACCAAACATTTGTTCACTTTAACAGTTTAAACGTGGTCTAGTTTTTACATCAATTTGTCCTTTACTTTCAGTACGTCCAACGTATTGTGGAACCTCCGTATGCTACAGAGCATTATGATATAGAGCCGAGGGATCTTGAGGGATTCTCACACCTGAACGAAATCACAAGTACAGTACCACGTGCCCTTCCTTTGGGCTTTTACACCGACATTTTTATTAATCATCCCTCTTGAATCTTTTCCCTCTTGAATCTTTCCTCTTTTAGAAACTCATGGCCAGAAATTCTTTTTAGTAAAGAAAATAACAATCTAAAATGACCCAAATTTTTTAGATGATTCTCCACCAGCCTATGTGTATGAAGGAAGTGACAGCGAAGATGAAGATATGCAGATGCTACTGAAGCACTACAAAACGCCAAAGCTGTCCGTTTACAAAGAGGTCATGGAGATTATATGTGGAGAGGATGAAACAGCAAAGACAAGGCAGTTTTTTCTAAACGATGGGTGCTTCAATGAAAACTATGAATATTCATGGGAAATCCTAATTGGACCTTATGCAGCAGTGTATGAATCAAGATTCTTTGATTTGTAGACGTAACGAACCTACAAAATCTATATCCATTTATATAACACATAATAGAAACTATATTCTCTAATACAAGTCTACAGACAGTTTTTGCTCTTAGTAAACAGTCTATTATTTTTTACCTACAACGTATATCCAGTTGGGGACATAAATAAATGACAGGTGGATTTGCTGAAGTGAGGATTTCCCATGTTAAAAATAAGAGAATTTACAAGAGGCCATAAATCAGTGGATGAGATTATACAAAATGTAAAATATACAAATTTTAAGGGATATGTATCTAGACAATATTGGAAATTATGGGCTTTCAGACCACCATAATTAGGAAATGGTGATCGAAAATCGACCTGTCATTTATTTTTGTCCCCAACTGTCAATAGTAGTACGGTTAGATTTATTGTAGATTGACATTGTATGTAATAAAATATATACTTCTTGGCCTTGCACAATGTACATATGAACTGACGTCTTATCAGATCCAACCACTAATTAGACTCAAAAAGATGTAAGTGATGTATTATATACTGTTCTATGAGTATCTATTTTCTAATAGACCGTTTACACCCTTGGTATACGCAGCTAACGAAAATTGACCGGTACGGGTCAAAAGCTGGACCGGTACGGGTTAACGGTTTTATTTGAATTTAAAATAGCCATAACTTGCTCAATATTGACCTCCTCGTGTCTAATTTGAATTATATGATGCCTCCCGATGCTTTTAAGTACCCCAATTTTTTACAGATTTTTAAACGGACCAAAACTCTCTAAAGTCGCATTTATGCTCTTTTCTCTCGAGAACGACTGTCTCATTATCACAACTTTTATTTAGTACTTCTAACATATAAGATCTATTTTTCCCCATCAAGGTATGATGTAAATGACATGCTATTTACATCTTGAGAGTTTGAATGACGCGCGTTTGATTTTATAAAAAATGCCAAACTTTGACTAAGAATTTCATCAGCTATTGCCCCGAACCGGTCCGTCTTCTCGCTACAAGCAGATTGCCCCGAACCGGTCCGTCTTCTCGCTGCAAGCAGGATGAAATTCTTTGTCACAAAGTTCAAGTGGCATTTTTTTATAAAATCAAACGCGCGTCATTCAAACTCACAAGATGTAAATAGCATGTCATTTACATCATACCTTGATGGGGAAAAATAGATCTTATATGTTAGAAGTACTAAATAAAAGTTATCGTGAAAATGAGACAGTCGTTCTCGAGAGAAAAGAGCATAAATGCGCATTTAGAGAGTTTTGGTCTGTTTAAAAATCTGTAAAAAATTGGGGTACTTAAAAGCATCGGGAGGCATCATATATTTCAAATTAGACACGAGGAAGTCAATATTGAGCAAGTTATGGCTGTTTTAAATTCAAATAAAACCGTTAACCCGTACCGGTCCAGCTTTTGACCCGTAGCGGTCAATTTTCGTTAGCTGCGTATACCAAGGGTGGTTTATAGCCTGCTTTGCTTTTGTCTATCTCAAAATTGTGGATATATTGTCCTTGTGTCTGATGACAATAGTATTACAATTATGACATTTTTCTAACTTTCTAACAGCTCTGCTGGGTATGCTACTGCCTCCCCTGCACATCTCTAGTGTAGCGTCACACTTGCTACCCCATGTCCGTAGTTATGTACCACCTGGAAAGACCGATACCTGTCTAATCGATCCAAAAACCACTGGGGACCGACCAAAAGTTAGCTCTAGCTCTTGTTAAAATACTGAAGCGAATGTTGGAGAACGAAAGTGGGAACAGAACTGTTCACATTGACTTATTCACATTAAAACTTTTCTAATCCGAACGCCATTGGGACCAGCTGAAAGCGTTCACAAGATTCATAATAGATGCATTTTTCACATTTGGTCAGTTGCACTGACCACATTACTTTGTGGCCACCCTGCTCGCAGAGTCAAATTATAAACAAAACCTGTTTATTCGATCCAAAAACCACAGGGGACCGACCAAGAGGTTCAAACTGATTGTTGTTAAATATTGAAGCGAAGGTTGGAGAATGAAAATGGGAAGTGTTCACATTGACTTATTCATAGTAAAATATAATCCGAACGCTATTTGGACTGGCTAAAGGCGTTCAAATTTTGTTTTCACAAGATTAATTTTGTATTTTGAAAAATTTGGTCAGTTCCACTGAGCATATAACTATGTGGCTACCCTGCTCGCAGAGTCTAGTTATAAACTATTACTGAAGACGAAGCTCCCTTTTAAGAAGCGAAGTCGAACGAATGCAAATAGTACTTTGTGGCATTCCAATAATTTGAAAAGCTGACTGAAATTTAATTAATTTTGAATAAGCCATATTAGAGAGATACAAATATGATAAGTGCCATTTAATTGTAAACCTAGTTAAACCTCCAGGTACCTTGTCTCATTTTAGATCCTACGCCCCTGATCTTTATTTACATTATATTCATTTTATTTTGACCAAACTTTGGCACAGAATAAATAGATGTACATTTTATTCTCTTATCTTTTAATATTGGGATCTAGAAATTGAAGTTGAACGACGTTGATTCCAGGATTTCCATTACTGGTCATTGGTACCAGAACGCAGTAAAATATTTTGCAACCGTGATTATATTAGTAGTTTGTTCACTATATTTTACACAACGCCTGGCTGTTTATCCATTTTCAGTGTATTTCCGTATGCTGGATTATCATAACTTTGGGCAGGATCCTCTTCAAACTTGTCTTCAATGTAGCTTCGAATTCCAAAACCAAATTTTAGTCTACTGACTACATTGCATCTGATACATACAACAGTTACTATGGCAATCGCGACCACTATGATAACACAGGATACAGCTACAGTCACTATGCCAACAGCACTTTTCAAGAAGCCTGGAAAAAGTGTCGTTTTTATTATTTGTTCTATCAAATACAGGGAAATACAAAGAATCATGTAAAATAGCATATAAGCCTTAGTGTGTCCTGATATCTAATATCTCTAATTGGTTAGCCTTGCCCGAGTCGGTCTCTTTTACTTCTTGATTTCTATTATGACCACAGAAAAAATACCGACTTGGGCAAGGCTACTAATTGGTATGTCAGAAGAGAAAAGTAAATATCGTGCACGAGCGTAGCTATGAAGCAGGCGAAGCATCTGCTTCTCCAACGTTTCATAGAAATATATTTTCGAGACAACACTTCAGATAAATTAAAAGAGAAACATTTAGTACCCCACACACTAATTAGTCACAAACTTTAAAACTTGTTTTGAACACTTTCCCCTTATTGAATCATGATGAAATTTCACATGGACAAACTATAAACACTTTCCAACACTCAGATTTTTTTGATTTGCTTGAATTTTAATTTTCAAATTTTAACAGTCATTTAAGATGAAGCACCAATTTCGCATTTTTTCACATTTTATGCTATATTTATGTATATTTGGCTTAATTCTTTGAGATGTACAAATTGAAACACTTGGATAAACTTTAACATCAACAACTTTTTAAGTAGTTTTCTACTTACTGTAATATATTACATAAATGTCATATGTATTTCAAATTTTTAATATCTGGTGGATAGCATTATGAAGACAGTGGTTCATGTCTTTGTGTAGATTCATATACGCTTTCCGGGCCACTGGAATACATGGCGGGCATGTTTCTCATTTCAAACAGCGCGTCATTGAGAGCAAGTAAACATTCCTCAAAGGATCGGGGGCCTACAATTGAGTGGCCATATTCATCACAGGGGTTGCCAGGGGGATGCCACCGTGATACTTTTTGTTGGATGCTATTGTTGAAGAGCTCACAAGGATTAAGAAGATGGCCCTTTGGAGGTAGCATCACTACCTTTACACCATTTTCTTCTAATTTTACACTGACTTCAGGATTGTAATGCTGTTTGCATGGATTCAGGGCCCTCCCTGAGCATCCTAATCTAGGCTATCCCAAACTAGGGTTGACCCCCTAGGTAAAAGCCGGTGAAGTCCTGGACCACCAAGATATCGATTCCTGGCTTCAGATGCAATTGCAAACTTCTTGACCACGGAGTTATCTGCATTCCTCTTTGTGAGAGATACCTTCACAAACTGCGACTGTGATATTACAGCTGAGCATGTAATCAGGATTTTGTTTACTTGCTCTCAATGACGCGCTGTTTGAAATGAGAAACAACCCTCATGCCTTTAAGGAATTCTACAAAAAGAGAGCTACTGGTAAAGATTTCAATAGACGCGTTGCAGGAAGTAAAGTGGCAAGACGGGTGAAAAACAGGAGAAACAGAGCCAAAGATGCCCGCCATGTATTCCAGTGGCCCGGAAAGCGTATATGAATCTACACAAAGACATGAACCACTGTCTTCATAATGCTATCCACCAGTTATTTAAAATTTGAAATACATATGACAGTAATGTAATATATTACAGTAAGTAGAAAACTACTTATTAAAAAAGTTGTTGATGTTAAAGTTTATCCAAGTGTTTCAATTTGTACATCTCAAAGAATTAAGCCAAATATACATAAATATAGCATAAAATGTGAAAAAATGCGAAATTGGTGCTTCATCTTAAATGACTGTAAAAATTTGAAAATTAAAATTCAAGCAAATCAAAAAAATCTGAGTGTTGGAAAGTGTTTATAGTTTGTCCATGTGAAATTTCATCATGATTCAATAAGGGGAAAGTGTTCAAAACAAGTTTTAAAGTTTGTGACTAATTAGTGTGTGGGGTACTAAGATTTTTTAACTGAAACGGAAAAATTAACAATAGCTTAATATCCTTTATGTCTGAAGTTGGTGCCTTCCTGTATTTTGGATCTTCGATACGTTTCTGGTAAAATATGGTTAAAATTGCATGTGTTGTTGTCTAACGTGTGTGTATCAAACTTACCAATCACCAAGCTGTCCTGCTGGTTGTCTTTTATCTTATAACTTAAATCTGCCAGCAATGAAGGTTTAAACTGAACTTCACTCGTATTTTGAAACGCATATACCACTCCGGAATTGTAGGAGCGTTCTTCATCACCAACCGCCAGTATGGAAGAGAACCACGTTTGATCAATAGAAGATGCCCCAGCTGTAGTGTTAAGTATCTGTCCTCCAATTCCAGATTCAAACATAACGTTTATGTTACTAAATTGAATTCCAATAAAATCTCCAGTTTTTACATCCAGTAAAGGTTTCTGTCTTACAACCGTCTCACCCGCAGTTGTTTCAGGTTTATCTAACAGTGCGCTTATGTTAATCATATGGATAAGCTGAAACGATTCATCTGTTGTAGTATTCCTCCATATAGAAATCATTGGCAGCCTGCTGGGTTCTAATATGAAGATTCTCCACTGTACAATAGTACCATCACATGTTGCAGATAGCTGTGGTATCAGAAATGTCGTCTTCATGTTGTCTACATAGAACGAGGAGTGGGGGTTGCTTGGGAATTGCCCTATTGACAGAGGACATTTTGGGTCGCTTGCAGTTCCGGAACCTGTAATAATATATAAAAAATATATACAATTTAAATCAGCTGAATTGCTTTGTTGAAGTATACTAGACATAGTTATATTTTTATGCATCCTCTTAATGTAGATTTCCAGTTTTCAAATGTTTTCCTCTTTGCAGAGTCTTTCAGATGTGCCACGGCCCTGCGTATGAGGGAGGCTATATATACTTTACCTGTTCCAATGCGTGCAGATATTGGAATTGCCATCTGTTCAGTAAACCAGCCAGCAAATATGAATGTGTTCCCCTCGTGGAAATCTTCATCGTACCTTCCAACTAACAATGTTTCAGTGAGCTCCACCCCATCCAGGTCGGTCTCCATTGCACCATCGGCTATCGGTAGTACTGGGTGTTCCAGGTAAGAATAATGAACTCCAATCACATCACCTTGTTTTACATTAACACCGGACCTTAAATCAAAATGATTTGAGCCGACTTTCCCTTTTGGGATCAAGTATTTGAATATTAGCTTGTATTTGTCTTTTACCATGGGACGCCAGACTGCGGCATACACTGTTCCGTTTGCGTCAGACTTGTAGAGATCAAAACCAACAACAATGGCGTCGCATGGAAATGGACGTCCAGTGACGATTAAAGCCCAGGTAAAATCGTCAGTATGTGGCAAATCTACCGAAGGGTAACCGACAGATTGTGGGCACTCTCCTATACCAGAAGTTGGACTTGGAGTAGGTGCTCTTCCATTTGTTTGAGGCAAGGCAAACTCTATAACAAAAAAGGCTAAAGCGATAGAAATGAACTTTACAGAATTACAAGAATTACTTTTAATTTATTAAGGGAACATGGGGCAAAGCGGCCCAAAAAATTTAATTTTAAGTTGTTCTGTACGGGGTATTTTCGTATCTGTCAATCATCGCGCACTTTGATGTTCCACTTTATTAATGGTTTGTGGTTTACATTTTTCGAGTGTTTTATACTTTCCTATGACTATCTTCTGTGATTTTTCAATGGTCAAAAATATTGTCGAGAGTGGGGCAAAACGGCCCATGGGCGGGGCAAAACGGCCCACCCTCTGTTACATGGGTTTTGAAACCAAAATTAATCAATTACAAGACTCGTCCACAAACATCTTATCTCAGACGTTCAAACCTTTGACAGATAAAGTATTCTTAACCCCTACCATAATTCTAGTCATTCGATATGTGTCGGAAGGAAATTAGGCACAAGCCAGATGTTAAAATTGTTACATTTGAAAACCAATTGTTCTTGCACAATAAGATTTTTGTATGTTATAACATGTGTGGGCCGTTTTGCCCCAAAGACATGTGAATTTTCAAATAGACGTCATTTTTATTTGCCTAATATTTGAAGCTCGAAATTTTTACAAATAAATAATAAATGTGCACACTCTATGTAAAATGTTAAATCAAAACGATATTCTATTGTTGCCGGATTTTTTAGAGATTCTCGTGAGAGGGGTAATTTCCAAAAAAAGAGGGTGAAAAGTAGAATTACCTCTTACGTAAAGCGAGACGCTGCTTGGTTAAAAATGGACGCTCGAGAAGGTGGCAGATATTTCAAAATTCGATTTTGTGACTTTTGAAGAACCATCTTTTTATAGTTCAAAAGATATTTCGATGGGCCACTTTGCCCCAGAGGGCCGTTTTGCCCCATGTTCCCCTAGATACGCTTTTTCTGAATTGTGTAGTGACCGACTGTGTTCCTATTGAGAGTTTGGAAATTACGGTTCGAAGAAAGTGTGGTCAAAGGTCAAGACCAAAATAAAATGATACCTTTCTAAAGGTAACCGGGCTCAACTCACCACAAGGAGGTATATAGCAGTACTCCCACCTGGAAGTCTGGTCCATCGTATAACACCATGCCCCACCGTGATCTGGAGGGTTGCCCGGGTTACGACAGAAATTAGAAGCATCATGTAAAGTGGCATCTGGGAACATGCTCGCATCTGAGTATGTGTGAGCGTGTGGCCACTGCTCGTCCCAACGTTGACATGGTTTACCAGAGCTGGTCACAGCAATCTTTCCTTGATAATTCTCAGCGTCATTGGTGGTCGAGCACTCTGAAATTACTCTGGCATTATTTGAGATAAATAAAGAAAAATAAAGAGTCGAATTAACAATGTCAAGACGTGCTACTTACCACAGAAAGGGATATCACAATATTCAAAGGCAGGACTAAAGGAGTCTATAGTCTCGATATAGCACCAGGGTCCTTGGTCATCGTTGTCAGGATTACGGCAGTAGGTATCTGAATCGTTTACGGAGGCATCGGGGAAATCATCATCTGTGTAATCGAGACGTTTATTTGTTACGTTGGACCACCTCCGACACGGCTTTCCAGTGTATGTCTTGGATTGTCTGCCAATATACTCGTGTCCCTCATTTGATAGCTTGCATTCTATTATAAGCTTGAAGCCAGTTGCATTTTTAAAAGCCATACCCTGATGGTTTATATTCTTCAGCTGTATCTTCAGGTTGTTTTCGTAAATGTAGAAATTGCCTTGGTTCACAGATTCAAAGGTGACATAGCCACGTTGGAAATGATCTCGTCTCATTCTAAACGTTGCATCGAGATCAAATGATGTGGCTATGTCCGAGTTTGTTCTCTCTTGGAGATACACATCGTTGCCTTGGTGACGCAAATATAATCCAGGATACTGCTTTGATTCTATAGAAACGGTATTGCCAACACCTGTCAGCCCAGGGTTGTGTAGAATAAAGAGTTCGCCCTCACGCATGAGGTACCCTTCCTTGTGATCATTGAACCCCATGCTGAAGTGTGGAACGCTTTGGGATTCAATGTAGTACGGACCATCACCTATAAGAGAGGAGCACCATTACACTTGTTTTTAATATTTGCAGAGTTGAATCATCTTCATGTTTAATATATATATATGAGAATAAATTCCAACGTGAAATTCGAAATAATTACAAAACAAAGATATGAATAAAAAAACTTCTGTGTGTCTTCTCACCGATTGCAGCTGAGGAATGATGGCTGTTCAGTACAGGAGTTACAGGAGTTGCATTAGATGCCGTCCCTGGAACAGATCATGAGCAATAAGTAGATTACGATTAGGCCTGTGCAGTTTACACTATGACTGCAAATCTTTTTGGTCATTGATCAAAGGGGAACACATATTGTTCATTCCTTAACGTCAGCACGATGAACATAATAGGATACATCTGTCAACTCAGTCAATACTATATTTTCTGTTGTGTCATAATAGCATAATTATATCACTATTGCAACTTTTTTTACCTTTAAAAGTTGCCCAAATAGCAAAGGTCGAGAGAATCTGTTCCCAATCAGCAAAGTCAAGTATATTTCCTTCAACAAAATCTTCATCAAACCTTCCTGTAGTTATTGTTTCATACAGCTCATCTCGTGTAACGAGATCACCTTCTTCGCTCCAAGCCAGGCCCGATCCCCTTGACATCTCTGTATGGTGAATTCCAATGAAATCACCTTTCTTCACACGGATGTCTTGCACCGATATCGTGTTCAGTCCTCGTTTTCTGCCACTGAGGAACGTCTTCTTTATCAGTCTGAACTTTAAGCCCTCTATGAATCTCCAGACCGAGGCATACGTTACTGTGTCCGGATCAACGTAAAAGTACTCCCAGCCAGTCACAAAGCCATCACAAGGAAATGTATTGTTCAACATGAGGAAAGTCCAGTAGCCACCTTGACGGGGAAGGTCTGTTGGTTGTCGCCCTACTCGTGATGGACATTCCCCTAAAACCATATACTTGTATCAAACCGCATAGAATGTGAAAGTTTTTTTCTAGGTCATTTGAAATTTGCAGCATGTTGTAAGCAAGGAACTGAAAAGATCCAGAATCGATTTTTGATTCTCAGGTGGATATCAAGCAGACTATGTCTTTTAACAAGGAGAGAAATATACTAGATATAAAATAAATAAAATACGTTATCTATCGCTATACATTTTTATAGGGTATTTTATAAGTCTATTCAGGATGAATTTTACGAATGTTTATGATTTACCAGGAGTGACAGTTGGTGGTGTTGTTGGCGGCTGATAAGTACTGGTTTCATTTACTTCGTGGAATTCTAAAAAATAACACAAAATGCTGTTGTCGCAGCAATGTTTTTATGTTGATCCAGAAGAAGCCACCAATACATGATCATTAGATAGCTAGTGAAATGTACGAGGATTGTTTGTGACCAGCTATTTTGGAATCAAACGAGTAACAAAAATGTTGTACCGCACAAAGGGATGTCGCAGTAATCCCATCTCATCGTTGGATCAATCGTCATACACCAGGGACCTTGTGGGTGGTCGTCATCCGGGTTTCTACAGAAGTTCTCAGCGTCTTGTAACGTAGCGTCTGGAAACCTTGAAGGATCTTTATGCGAATGCTGATGCGGAGTATCCGACGACCAATGCTGAAATCGCTTACCAGTCAACGTTTCTGTCTGTCGTCCTTGGTATTCTTTACCATCTTGTGTAGACTTGCATTCTTCATTTTAATGAAACAAGGTTTTTTAGAATCGATAGTGAAACATTAATTAAATTTGGTTGACTGAAGAATGACATGACATCAGGTAAAAACTTTTAAAATATTGAAATGCCGATCACATTTGCATCTTGTACAAAGGATAAATTTTTCACATATATATAAATTTTGATCACCTCTTGAAAGTGCGTTATGATGATTATCTTACCACATTTTTGTATCTTGCAGTATTTCCATTCTAATTCGCTATAGAAACAATACGGTCCACCAGGCTGTCCATCAGGATTTCTACATCTATAGAAAATGTTTATCAATAATTTGCTAAGAGTGTTTTCTTCTCTTGGCACCCAGAATGTTACAAATGTATTCAGTAATATCGTATGTATTGTAAATAGAAAATACACTCTCCGCTCTTTGGTAACACATGTTGAACTGCGGTTTTGTTTGCCGATTTAAGAAAATAATCAATTTGACATAACTTTTTGATTTACCTATTCTGGGCTTCCTCCATATTTGTATCAGGAAAGTCCGCATCAATGAATCTTGTCCTGTATTGAACCCATGGAAGACATGGACTATGACTCTTGGTCACTGAAACCGTTCCTGTATACCTCGAGCCTAACTTTGTAGCCTGACAGTCTAACAAGTACACCAAGTTTAATAAATGTCATGAATAGTACCATAAATTAAACATATTATGAATGTGATAACAAGTCATATTTATCTTGCATAAAATTAGGTAATCATATTTCACTGACAAATAAATTCAATTTTAGCTTCAATTCCGTATTTCTCTTTTTCAATGTGTCTATTTCCCTTTTTGTTTAACCCAGAATTCGACATGGATACTTTTACCATTCCATTTTTAACATATAGTCAAATCCGACACACGTCAATCTAACTTTGTTTAGTCTTGGTGGTTCAGTTCCAATCGTTTTTATATCACATCCAGCGTCTCACCTGTGTCTGGTGTATCACATAATGGTAGAGTGCACTCCTCCCATCTTTTGTCCTCATCCATCGTATAACACCAGAGACCAGCACTCCAGCTAAAGTCGGGGTTGCGACAATAATTTCCGGCATCACTGATCGAATCATCGGGGAATAAAATACTACTGATATAATTATGAACGTGGGGTGTTTGGCTCGACCATGGTTGGCACGTTCTGCCACTCTTTGTATGAGAAAGCGTCCCCTGGTAATCTCGACCATGTTCGGTTATAAGGCAGTCTACAAAAAACAACCCTTGGAATGTTAAACTTGTTGACCATTCACTTTAAAGAGGTGTACTAAAAAGAGAGAGATGCTTGAATTAGCGAGGTTTAGCTACACACTTACTTTGATAACTTGTACTGAACGTGTTGAATATAATGTTGTAGTTTATAAATCCATAATGGAGAACTTAAACTCAAAGCAAAATACGTTTCTATAGCATATAATAATGGTCAATGCAACTACACGGCGCATACTAAACAAATGCTAACAGACAGAACGTACCACAGAAAGGCACATCACAAGTTTATAATTCCATAATATAGAACTTAAACTCAAAGCAAAATGCGTTTCTATAGCATATAATAATGGCCAATGCAACTACACGGCGCATACTTAAACAAACGCTAACAGACAGAATGGAGAACTTGAACTCAAAGTAAAATACGTTGCTATAGCACCTTTAATAAAAGTCAATGCAACTACACAGCGCATTCTTAAACAAACGCCAACAGACAGAACGTACCACAGAAAGGCACATCACAAGTTTCCCATTCTGTAGCATTATCAGTTGTATAACACCAGAGATCATTTTCTTGGGCAGTGGCTGGATTGCGGCAGAAGTTGGATGCATCCTGTACAGTATCGTCTGGGAAATCACTGTTCGTGTAGGTAGGGTGGGGATGTGGAGCCTGAGAGGACCATGCCTGACAATCTTTACCCGTTCTTGTCACTGACACTCGACCTCGATATGTCGTTCCTGCCCGAGTAGCTCTGCAGTCTGAAACCATCAGTAAAACCACTAATTTATTCGATTATGGAGTTTTTCTATCGTTTTTTCCTCTTTTGAATGCAAAAATGTTAATATCTCATTACACAAAGAAACTACTTTATTCTTATAATGATTACCGTTGAATCAGATGAAATTATAAGTAAATCATTATATATGATTGGCAGCTAGCCTAATTCTAAATGGAACGTACTTAATTAACCTCGGAGCAAAAGACCGATGTCTCTGTACTTGTCTTTTTAAGGACTCAAGACGTTTTAATTATCTTTCTTACAAAATCAAAACGTTTAACGATTACCACACAATGGCACGTGGCACATTTCCCATTCAACTTCTGTATCGGTCGTGTAACACCAAGGCCCAGCTTTATCACCATTCGGGTTTCTACAATAATTACTGGCGTTTTGAAGAGACGCATCGGGGAAATCGCTAGCGTTATAACTATGTTGGTGTGGTGTTTGTACGCTCCATGATTGGCAAGCACGGTTGGAGACTGTTACAGAAATATGTCCTCGATATTCACTGCCAGTCTGGGTACTCTTGCAATCTAAAGTACTGGTGGAATCTAATAAATAAAAAACAATCATTTGTACCCAATAACACATTAGAAAATAGGTTTTTATTGACAATTTAAGTGCATAACGATTATTGTGCGTAAGGTGCGTAAATGTTTCTAGATGGTAAATAATTGAAGAAATGGAAGCCAGAACTCGTATAGATGGCAGTTAACATTTTTTCCGACGGTGCGGATTGCTCTTCACATCTATTGACAGTCTTGAAGACCATTAGAATTATTCAACATTTTGTTCATACTCACTATGATTTGCAGCTACTGCATACTGTTGGTGCCACAACCCAACTGGAAAATTAATTACTTCGTTCAATGCCACAGTCTCATTTGCGGTGAAATCGAGAAATACCTATGGCGACCGTAGGAAATCTACGGTCGCCTCACGGTCGCCCCACGACGTATTCCAGTTTTCTACAGACCGCAGGGTCGCCGTGAAAATCGCCAAACAGTCAACGCATAGTCAGACCAGCGTAGACCAGCTGCAAATTTTGATTTATTTCACTTCAGCATAAAAACCATATTGGCCCTACCTGATAAAGAGATGACCAAAAAGGATGCAAACATATATGTAACGCCCTCCATATCTCGATCGTGTTGTTTCGTTTGTAATTAATGCTCCAAATGTTGTTTTCAAATCTTACTTAGACTGTATAGAATTTTGAGTTACATGTTAGCATAACTTATCTAGTTTACAATAGTAAAATAGTGAAACAAATGTTAATCAGATGGGAGAATGTGACCATGCCTAATCAAATGATTGTTGAAAGGGTAACCTAAACATATTGACGTACAGCCCCTAAAATAAATTAAGGAAGAAGTATATCTTAATAAGAATAAAAAATATTTTGCGAGGCTTGGGTTTATGATCACCACGTGACCTTTATTTTTGGTGTTCATAAAAGACATCTCTTCAGATTATTAATTAATTCATAGTGTTTGGTCCAATTTTCTCAAATAAAGCGGAATTCCCAAGAAATTGTTAATATTATGTTTCATTTCGTAAAATGATGTTGCTAGAATAGATCACATTATCTTGGCTGTTCATCTGTATTTTCCTTTTGTAGAATGCTTCTTTTTAATGTGCTGTCGAATTTCATAATACTATTTATTCTATATCCGGAGTTGAAATATTCAAAGTGAAAGAATGGTTTATTTTTAAAATGTTCGAAACATATTTTTCTTGTTGATAAAATGATTATCAAGTCATATCATGCAAATTTACCAGCGCGGACATCTCTGCGCTGTGATGGCAACATCATTTTCGAAAAGAAAAAAATCGATCTCAAGAAGTACACAGATGCGAGTAGGTAGTTACCAGTTTCGCCACCAGGTGGACATAACATGGCAGGGTATTACAAAATTCCCTTTAAACTCTAGTCTGTACAGTAATCTTAACTTTAGATTTTTCATACACCTTACTCAATGTTTTTTACTATTTATTTTCTCACTGCCTGTTTTCATGTAGATTACTTATATGATTTCGAAAAGTGTAACAACGAAAAATCAGAAGAGTTGAAAATGAAATTAATATATATTCAAAGTAACTTTCTTTACTAGCATCCGTAAAAATATTTTTTTCATTTTAAAAAGCAAAAGTCATAATAAAGTTGAAAAGTCCTGAGTATAAGATTTGCAGGATATAGGTCAACAGCTGAGCAAGTTTTAAAAAATAAGTTTGTCCCCTAAGTTTCTCACCGGATTCATATAGATCAAGGTCTTGGGCTTATTTTGAGCTTGGGTTCTCGGTCCTAGCCCCGGCAACGAATGTGAAAATTGGTCCTATAGGTGGCGCCCCCTACAATTTGACCCCAAATTTAAAACTAATTATTGTTTTCTTAACTCAAACATAAAGACATCTAATATAGCTTAAATTAATCAATGGTACATTAAATTATGCAATAAAATTTTTGTCAGTGTCTGAAAATCATAATTTATGGAGAAATAATGGATTAACCCCTTAAAACGCCCCCTATTTTAAAGGGGTTACTTAAGTTAACTTCCGTAACTTTTGTATTATTCAGGCTTTGGGCTTAAAAATATTCCTGAATATGTACAATAATGCTGTTGAGAGACTGAAGTAATCCTGTGTTCATAGCTTTTTTACTTTTTGAGAAAAAAAATAAAACGTATTTGCATTTAATTTGGTTTCATTTCATTTCCAGATGAACCATCTTCTGTACTATCTAATTTATATTCCACACCTTATGCCCATGCATAGTATTAATAGTTTTCTTTCATTTTAGACCAATATAGATGACTGTAGTTCTTAAAAAAAATAAATAAAAAAAAAATTTAGCAGAAATAATTGATTTACCCCTTAAGATACCCCCTATTTTAAAGGGGTTACTTAAGTTAACTTCCGTAACTTTTGTATTTATTTCCAGATAAACCATCTTTTTTCCACTTATCATCACCCCGCCTTGAAAATATATCTGAATATATAGACTTATATTTGTGTCAAACTGTGAAAATCTCATGCACACTCTTTCAGGAAGGATTTGAACGTGAAAATGAACATATGGAAATGGAAATGAACATATTTGCATTTACAGTAGAACCTGTATACAGCAAATTACACCTATAGAGCCATAAAAACATGTTCATTGTAATAATGTGCTCACAACAGAAAAGCGATTTTATACAGATGTCAATGGGGTATGTTCCGAGAAGGGGTGTTCACTAGATACAGTTGTTCACTAGAGAAAGGTGTTTTATATTATTTCAATGTGTTATAATATATTCATTTTAATGTATTTTATATTTCTTATTATAATGTGCATAATAATATTATACTTTCAAATTTCAGACTCATCTGTATAGATTTCATTCTTTCAAAATATCAGAATACTAGTACTAGGTTTTCAGCAATTCCATGCATTCAGCTCTTCAAAAGCTCTTCAGCAAGAAAAGCTCTTCAAATTGGAGGTGTGAAAAGTTCCATGTGGGAAAAATTTTCATTTTGGAATGCTAAATCTGAAATCTTTTATCTGAGTTTCTTCCTCCAGTCATTGTGTGAATAAAAGGTGGGTAAAAGTTGAATGGTCTTCAAATAACTACAGTAGGGTACTCTTATCGATTTAGAAAGTAACTTAATATAAACTGAATTAGTCTTAGTTCATTTACATTTGTGTAAAAGTGTATATTTGATTTATGAATTGAACTGACTGATTATTGTCTTGCTTCAAGTCTCTGAAACCCCCCCCCCCCTCCCCCATCTGCTTCACATTCTTGTTGCAAGGTTTCAAGAGAATTCCAATGTTTATCATTACTTTGTGTCAATTGATTTCCAGTATGGATTTTTCAAGCATTGACGTTATAGAATCAGCAGCTGCTTCAGTCGATGAGAGAAAATGTATCATTTGTCAAAAAGATGATTCCAATACAGTAACTAGTACTAAAAATGGAAGAGAGCGGATTATTGAGTCTGCTCAAATTCGATGTGATGATGTGAGTGATAGGTTGAACCATGTTGATACAAATAGCTTCGTGTATCACATGTCTAACAATTGTTACAAACAATATACAAATACTACAAAACTTAGAAATATCCAGAAGAAACAATTGGAGACATTACCCAGCCAAGATGAGAGTCCAAGAAAACGACAACGACTTAGATCTTCGATCTCTCATTGTCAGCAGATCCCTAAAGGGCCTGAAATATATGACCAAAAATGTGTGATATGTGGCACTAAAAAACACCATGGTAAATACGAGAAATTTCGAATTTCAGAAGAAAGACGAGCATCTTCATTCCTGAGTGCTGCTGTATTTTTTCAGGTTATTAAGATTTATTGCTTTATTGTCAAGAATTTAATAACAATTTCATTCATTTTTGTACATAGGTTTATGTTTACAGAAAAGATTAATATTTTATAGAAATTAAAAACCAGCCTGCCAAGTGCCAAATGTTTTTGTCGGGTTTATCAGGACTCCTTCATACAGTACTTACACTTTGAAATGACATGTGACACCCTGTATAATTACTTATTTATATCATGCCACCTTTTCTTGCTCATTTTACATTAAATATGTACATTTCAGGATGAGGTGTTCACACGTTGTTCGAACATAGAAGACACAGCTGGGGTTTTCGGTGCAGACTTATATTGTCATAAAGGGTGTATCAGATCATATCTAATAAAATATGAACGCTCTGTGTCTAAGACAGCAAAAAGTCACAAGAAGGTTGGCATATTCAACAAAGTAATTCAAAAAATTGACAAGGAACTTGATGATGGTAAATGTTTTTCATTAGGGGATCTAAGTCAAAACGCTAATATCCTGTCAGATGGTACATTCACATTTACAAATTATCAAATGAAACTATTCCTAATCAACAGATTTGGTAACTCAATATCGTTTTCCAGAGTTGGAAAAAATGTTACAAAAGTGTATATGAAAGCAAAATTAAAATCAGAACAACTAGTTAATCATGTTGAATCTTCAAATCCAATATCTGATGTTGCCAAGGAAATCAGAGAATCAATCAAAATGCAGGATTTTGGATTGGAAGATAGCTTTATGGATGCTAATGACCTATCAAAATCATGGAACAATATTTCACTACCTGAACCTCTCATTGAATTTTTTTCCACCTTATTTAATATAAGCAGAGACGAATTAGAAAGTAGTATTGATGATGATAATGATGATGATAATGACAGTAGTGATGATGACAATTGTGATCATGAAGATGTTTCAGAAAACAGAAAGTGCTCTCAGAAAAAGAGGAAAATTCTTGCATTGTTTCAAATCATGTATTATATGCTGCATAGTGGTCGAAAGAAAACACCGCTCCATGTTATGTTAGCACAGGCAGTGCATGAAAAATGTAAAAGTAGGTCACTTATATCAACTTTAAATCATTTTGGATTAGGGATAGGCTCTGATGAGCTTTCAAGATTTCATAATAACTTAGGGTCCTACACTATTGAGAGTCATAAAAACCATATTCCTATACCAAGTCATTTTAATAACAAATCACATGTACAAGGTGCATTTGATAATTTTGATCACAATGAGGCCAATCTCACAGGAAAAGACTCAACCCATGATACAGTTATCGTTCTTTTTCAAAAGAAAGATGAGTCAATTGACAATAAAAAGCCAAAAATGAGTGAAACCAATATAGAAACTGATCAACGTTCTTTCAACAAAACACAGCTTCCATGCCAAAATCTGAAAGACTTCAACAAACCATCTGTAAAGCCAAATATTCCAGAAACCTATGAAGTGTCAGATGAACTTTATGCCATGTCAGAGCAAAAACGGTCAAGTATAGATAAGACTGAACTAGCATGGACCATTAGTCGCTTAGAATTTGAAGATGATAAAGTAAAGTCAAAAAGTGAAAATCAACAAACTCCATCATGGAGTGCATTTAATTCTGTATTCTCTACTCCAGATATTGTTCAGAAAGTCACAGGGTTTGTTCCAGTACTACCATATCCAGTCACTGATTATCAAACAGTTTATACTGCCATGAAATTGTTTATAGATATATTAGATCAGCTTCCTGAACAGAGACAACTAGCTGTTACAAGTGATGAGGGTGTATATCATATTGCTAAAGAAATTCAACTTTCAAGGCCAGATGAGTTTAAAAATTTGATTCTTTGCCTAGGTCCATTTCACTTCATCAAGGTGCTGCTAGGTTGTATTGGAAAATACCTTCGGAATAGTGGTGCAGAAGGTATATTATCTGAAACAAACATATTTGGCCCAAATGTAGTGGATTCAATACTTAGTGGAAGTAATTATAAGCGTTCAGTATATGGCATTTACATGTTGTGTGAAGCAATGGACCGTCTGAGGTGGAGGGAATTTTTCAGAATAAAAGGAAGGGAAAAATATCAGTCTGAATTAGACCTACTTAATGATCTAAAACAATCACTCTTTACAAAGTCTGATGAAAGTTCAGATATTTTACAAAGATTTTGTGATCAAGCTGACAATTTGTTACATGACTTTAGAGAGTTTAATGACACATCTAAGCAACAGAATGAAACTTGGGCCTATTGGAGTCGCTTTATTGAGATGGTTCAGTTGCTTAAAGATACAATAAGGGCAGACAGAACAGCTGATTTTGAACTTCACCTGCAATGTGTCCAATCTTGCCTCCCCTTGTTCAGAGCATTTGACTGCACCAACTACTTGAGATGGGGATCAGTTTATCTGGAGGACATGAGACAACTTGATAAGACATCCCCAGAAACTCTAGAAAGATTTAGAAATGGTGACTTTGGTGTCAAGCGTAATAATGGCTCATTTAATGTTGTTGGCACGGACATGGCATTAGAGCAAACTATCAACCGTTCTCAAAAAAGCAGTTCTGGTATTATAGGAAGCACACAAATAAAATCTTTTGTAGCCAGATGGGAGCTCATACATCATGAAATGATGGCAGTGAGCCACCTTTTCAGTGAAATAAGTGACACTGTGAAATCTGATGAAGGCATCAAAGATGACCTGAGATTGCATGGGGAATATAAAAGGTCATACACTGACACTCTTGAAGAACGTGTAGGTAACATTGTAGACTATATAATCTCACACGATAATCCATTTGACCGGTCTAAAGATCATACTGACTTGCATAATATATTAACACAACAGAAAGTCCCCGATGATATCAAAATACAATTGTTGAATGAATCTACAATAGGACTACATGGATACATAGATTTCAGAGACTCAAGATTCAAAGCAAAGTCAGAAAGAATATGTGACCCAATCAAGAAAGTAAACCTGAAAACTTTTAAGAATTTAAATGAAAAAAGAACTAATACAGCAGTAACGTCTAAGAAAATGGTGAAAAAAGAAGAAACAGAAGCACAAAGAATAATCGATTTAGCAAGAGTTCGAAATTATGACATAGAAAAGTTATTGAAATATGATATGACAAAATCAAACATCTTATATGACTCCGATGATCTTATGAAAAAGCCAGTGAAATCAGAACTAACCACTGAGTTGGAAAAACATTTAAAACCAAGCGATCATTCAACTCCACAACAAGAAGATAAAACGTGCAACATTGGATATGTGGTAGATGTGATGGCAAATGTGAGAAAACTTCGCACCGTTCATTTAAAAACATTTAAAGATCTCGGCAATAGTTTCTTTTCACATGTGATTAATTCCTGCCAATACGCAAAACAAATACACTTTGTATTTGACTCCTACCTCGAGGGGTCAGTCAAGGATTCAGAGAGAACCCGAAGGAGTTCAAAAAAAACAATAGCCTTAAATGAAATTACAGGCGAGACGCAATTACCAGTTGATTTTGACACATTTTGGCCCAATGGAAATAATAAAGGAAGGCTACAAACATTTCTAAGAGACCATGCAATGGAACAAACAAAGAGCTACCCGAATATTGAATTCATTTTTGGTGGCACAATAGGGAAAGCTAAACAGCCTTCCATAGGGATCAAAGATAGTAGAGAATATAAACCGGATTTAGACTCAAATTACGAAGAAGCAGATTTTAGAATTGTGCAACATGCACTAAATTCTGTATGCAATGGCTGCAAAAGAATTATAATATTGTCTAATGACACAGATGTTTTAGTGCTTGCCATTCATTATTGGCGGATTTTACACAGCCATGGACTGTCAAATCTGTGGACTAAGGCTGGCATAGGGAACACTACTCGTTATATACCAGTTCATTTAATTGCCAATAACATAGGATCTGAAAAGTGCAAGACATTGCCAGCTTTACATGCACTTACAGGGTGTGACATTACCAGCAAAGTTGGAACAAAAAAGTCAGCTTTAAAGCAGGATACCTCCCTAATAAAAGAATTTGGCACTGACTCTGGCACTCTAACAAAAGAGCAAATGTTTAGTAATGCGGAGGAATTCTTAGTGAAAGTATTAAAACCAAATTCTGAATCAACAACTACAATGGATTCTCTCAGATTTAAACAATACTGCCAATCCAAATCTACCTCAATAAGTGATCTCCCTCCAACCAGCTCATCACTGAAATACCATTTGTTAAGATCCTTTTTTGCGACTCATATGCAAATACATATTTTATCAAATACTCAGCTTGACCCATTGGAATATGGCTTCGTTCTTGAAAATGAGATGATCTTACCACACAGAATATTCTGTATATCACCTGATGATCTCATTTTGCCTTGTAATTGTAGTAAATGTGGTACAAAACGGTGCATATGTAAACTGAACAATATTCATTGTTGCATGTTTTGTAAGTGCAAGGGGAGCGGTAAATGTAATAACCCTCTAAACAAGCTTTTAGAAAGTGTTGTAAGTAATGCAATAACTGATTAATCTGATGTCATTAAGATACTGTATGTATAATTTTTAAAAGAACCATCCACTGATATTAGATATGATGTAAATCTATAAAGAGAAACACTTGTATGAGTAAAATATGTTTATGAATATATGTAAATATATATATTATATATACATGTAAGAACCTATGTTAAAACCTATGTTTAGATCATATATGTTTTACTATAATAATATGTGTGAATAACAGTGGTTTATTTGATGAAACAGGCTATATTGAAATCAAAATAAACAAATGTGAACAGCAGGAAATGCATAATATCTCTGTCTTATTAATATTGAACTCACCATTATAAATACCAGCATAATAAAACATTCATTGCCAAATATTTTCAGCTTCCAATGCAAAAACATTTCATGTTACTTTTTCTTAAAAAGTGATAAAACTATGAGCATAGGCTAACTATAATCTCAACACAAACACACAATTCTACAAATTCAAGGATATCTTCAAGCCCAAATCTTGAATGAAACATAAGTTACCTGAGCTAGTATACATATCCCCTTTAAAATAGGGGGTATTTTAAGGGGTAAATCAATTATTTCTGCTAAATTTTATTTTTTTATTTATTTTTTTTAAGAACTACAGTCATCTATATTGGTCTAAAATGAAAGAAAACTATTAATACTATGCATGGGCATAAGGTGTGGAATATAAATGAGATAGTACAGAAGATGGTTCATCTGGAAATGATATGAAACCAAATTAAATGCAAATACGTTTTATTTTTTTTCTCAAAAAGTAAAAAAGCTATGAACACAGGATTACTCC